AAAATATTTTAATTTTTCCCCCCCTTCCCTCCCTTTCTCCCCCCTCTCCATCCCCACATTCCTGCCCAGAGCGAGGGGGGTGGCATCCCCTGCGTGTCCCGTTCTCCTTCTCCATCCATCCATCCATCCATCCATCCATCCATCCATCCATCCATCCCAGCTACCGGGAGCTGCAAGGGGGGACCCGCCTGGAGCAGCCCCTCCTCCCGCCTCAAAATTCCTTTTTTTTCCCCCAGCCCCTGGAAGTTTCTCCGCCGAGTGGAGAGACCCCGGGACGCTCCGGGTCCTGGGCGGGGGGAGAAGCCGGAGCCGGGTGAGTGAGCAGCAGGGTCTGTCCGTCCGTCCGTCCGTCTGTCCGTGTCTGTTTGTCCGTGCAGGGTTTGGCTCCCTTGGGTTTGTTGTTTTTTTCTTTTCCCCCGGCCACTCTTCAGTCTCAGGTTGCAGTTAAAGAACTGCGGAGGGGAAGGAGGGAGAGGGGCCGGGGGAAGAGGAGGAGGAGGAGGAAGCAGCAGCTCCCAAGGGGGAGGATGAGGAGGAAGAGGAGAGTGAGGAGCAGCAGCTCCGGATGAGGAAACTGAGGAGGGAGAGGAGGAGGAGGAGGAGGAAGCAGCACCTCCCGATGGGGGAGGAAGAGGAGGATGAGGAGGGTGCAGCTTCCGATGGGGAGGAAGAGGAGGCAGCAGCTCCTGAGGAAGAGTAGGATGAGGAAGCAAGCTTCTGATGGGGAAGATGAAGAGGATGAGGAGGCAGCAGCTCGCAGCTCCAGATGAGAAGGATAAGGAGGATGAGGAAGCAGAAGCTTCCAGGGGCGAGGATGAAGAAGATGAGGAGGCAACACCTCCCTATGGGGGAGGAAGAGGAGGAGGAGGAGGCAGCAGCTCCCAGTGGGGAGGATGAAGATGAGGAGGCAGCAATTCCAGATGAGGAAAATGAGGAGGAGGAGGAGGCAGCAGCTCCTGATGGAGGAGGAAGAAGAGGTTGAGGAGCAACAGCTTCCAATGGGGAGGAAGAGGAGGATGAGGAGCGGTGGCTTCCAAAGGGGAAGATGAGGGGAGTGAGGAGGCAGCAGCTCCCTGATGGGGAGGAAGAGGAGGATGAGAAGGAAACAGCTCTGGATGAGGAAGCACCACATGGGGAGATGGAGGAGGAAGAGGAGGTTGAGGAGCAACAGCTTCCAATGGGGAGGAAGAGGAGGATGAGAAGGAAGCAGCTGTGGATGAGGAGGATGAGGAAGCACGGCATGGGGAGATGGAGGAGGAAGAAGAGGTCGGCAGCTCCCAGTGGGGAGGATGAGGAGGAGGCAGCAGCCACTGGTGGGGAGGATGAAGAGGATGAGGAGGCAGCAGCAGCCCCAGCTTCCCCCTGCTCTGCACAATTTGAACCCCTTGGTGCTGCCCCAGAAGGGCCCGAGGTGCCCCAAACCTGTCTGGAATTGGAATTTTGGGATGAATTTCACCTCCCCTGGTGGGATGTGGCTCAGGAGCGTCAGGGCGAGCTTGGGAAGGAGATTCCAGAGCATTGTGGAATATCCAGGGTTGGAAGGGTCGCCAAAGTGCCACTCCTGGTCCTGCCCAGGACAATCCCATGATCCCACCATGTTCCCGAGGGTGTTGCCCAAATGCTCCTTGAGCTCTGTCAGCATTACCAGAGTTCCCATGGGTTTGTTTTGGGGTTTTTTGAGGTGTTTTTGAGAAGAAGACAATTCCTGTTGCTCCTTTGATGCATCCAGGGGGTCTGAGCATGGAGTGGGCAGAATCTGATCCCAGAAAACTTCCCACCAGTGGGATAAGGAGATGGATTTTCCTTCTGATCTTGTTCTGTGCAACGTGGCTGGAAGCAAGTCCTGGATCAAAGCTGGGACAACAAAGGAGCAAATCCCCTGGGAATGGCTCTAATTCCAACAAAATGGATATTTTGGTGGGATGTGGGAGAAGCTGCAGGAAGAGTTGGTCTGGGGCCATTCCTGGCTGGGGAACTCACAAATTCCAGGGTGGAATTCTCCTTTCCTGCTGCAGGTTTGATCGTGGCAATGGATGCAGGGATTGAGTGTCTGGAATCCACATCCAGCTGTGGATTTGCTCCTTTCCCAATCCAGCTTTTCCTGCCCCAGGAGCACCAGTGGTGGTGGTGACTGAGATCCACTCACAATTCCCAGCTTCTCCTGTGGATGCTGGAATGATGTTCCACAAATTTCTTTTTGATTCACAATTTGGTATTTTTTTGGCTGCTCTCCATCGTGGGCCCAAAATAACGGGAATTCTGCTGCAATCAGGAATTGCAGGGAAGTGTTTTTATCAACTGCCAGGAGATGATTCCTGAAATGTCTCAGAAGTCTTTGAGGCTCTTTGTGGTTTGGGTGGAATTTGCAGGAATTTCTTCCTGTGATCACTGCACCTGGGAGGAGGAACAGGAAATGGGACAGGGAAGGTTGGGGCTTCCCAATTTTCCTGCAGCTCCCAGGATCCTCGGGAAGGGCTGGAGGTTCTGTTCGGAGCGTTGGCACAGGGATATGGGGACACATCCTAGCTCTTTTGGGTGGCATTTGGTCCTTTTTGGGTGTCACTGGATTTTTGGGATTACTGGGTTTTTGGTCCTTGTTGAGTGTCACTGGAATTTTGGGTTCACTGGACTTTTGGGATCACTGGAGTTTTGGGTGTCATTTGATCCTTTTTGGGTGTCATTGGTCATTTTGGGGATCACTGGAATTTTAGGATCACTGGATTTTTTGGGTGTCATTTAATTCTTTCTGGGTGATACTGGAATTATGGGATCACTGAGTTTTTGGATGTCGCTTGGGGATTTTTGGGATCACTGGATTTTTAGGATCCCTAGGGTTTTGGGGGTCATTTGTTCCTTTTTTGGGATCACTCAGTTTTCCCAAACACAGCCTGTCTGGGAATGGGAAAACCAGGGGAGCAGGGGATGGGAGATGGATGATGGATGGATGGAGTGTGACTCTGGGATTTGGGGTGAGGGATCTGCAGGTGGTGCCGAAGCTGTGAGATGTTCTCACCACAGGCCTCACCTTCCCGTGGAATTAATAATTAAATTAATGGGAAAAGTCAGGGATTTGGGTTCAGATCCTTGGCTCCAACTGCTGGATCTCTTCCTGACTGGGCAGGGGGTGCCTCTGGATCTGCCTCTCCCATTCCCTGCCCATAAATCAGGGAATCATGGAGAGGTTTGTGTTGGAAGGGGCTTTAAAGCCCATCCAATTCCTACCTGGCCATGGGGTATTCCCAGGAGATGGGAATGTGGGAATTCCATTCCCAGACTCTCCTTGCTGCCTCCTTCCACGTCCATATTCCAGCAAAAGCGAATCTGGAGGCAGGGAAACGGCAGCAGATTCCTGCTGGGAGAATTTCCCCTGCCCCAAACCCAGGAGGCTCCCAAGGGATGCAGAACCTTTGGGATCTTTTTTTCCTTTGTCCCAGCTCCTGTTCCCCTCAGGAGCACTTGGAAATGTGAATAACCTGGAAAAGTTCCAGCTGGAGAAACCGGAGCAGCGCAGTCCTGGCTGCCAGCCAGGCACTCAATCTCTTCATCCGTCACTTTCCAACCCTTTTTCCCCCTTTTTTTAACCCCTACCTCCTTCAAATCCAACGATTTTCCCACAAATCCCCACCTCTCCTTGGCCATGGATCCTACTTCCCTGGAGACATTCCCTTTTTCAGGATGTCTAATCCCATTCCACCTTTTTTAAGGGAAAACAGTTGAACAAACGTCACCCCCTGGATGCCCCACGTGGCAGCGGGGTGACAAAACGGCAGATATCCCGTTCTTTGTTCCATGAATCTGTCTGATGAGCACTGATTCCCAACAAAATTCCTCTTTGGAGTCACCCACCCCAAACCTTCACTCCTTTCCTGGGATTTCTTGCAGGAATTGGAGCTCAGGGCACCAAACCCCTCCCGTGCTGTTTGCGGCAGCTGCATGGGCAAATCCAACAGTTTTTTCCTTCAAATTGTGCTTCTTGGAGAGGGAGGAAAGTTCTGCCTGGAGATGATCTTCCCAGGAAGCACCCAGCTGGAATTTTCTGCTTGGAAAAGCCTCTAAATTTGGCTCAAAAACGTGTTTTTAATGTGAAAATCTGATTTGTGGGGAGTCACCATGGAGCAGGAAAAAAGAGAGGAGGGTATGGATGTCATTCCCAGGACTCACCGGGTGTTTTCCTGCTTTTCCCCTGGATGCTTCCAAGCTGGAATCCTCCATCCCAAACTCCCGGAACTTTCCTTGTCACAGGAATCTTAAAGGGACTCCTTATTCTCATTAGTTGGAATTGAATCCCTGGAAAAGAATAAAGCTGGATGAAGCCATTGAGATTTTTTTTTCCCCTGAATCCATAATTTGCACCTTGGAAGTTGTCTATGCTTCCCTGGGAACAGGTGAGGCTCAGAGCAGGAGAAGAACTTTTGATTGCCCATTAAAAAAGAGTAAAATTCCCTTTGGCAGCACCACTCCTGCTCCACATGGAGAATTCCCTTTTTTCCAGAGGGGGAATTCTGCAGCAATTCTGGGGAGTCATTAAACCACCAACAATAACCAAAATTCCAGACTCCTCCTTGGGCTGGATCCTCAAGGAAGTTCATCCTGGATTTAGGAGCCTGGAGATCAGGGTTGGATGTTGGTGATTCCTGATTTTCCTGGCCTTTTCTCCTGGATTAATTGGAGTGGGAAGTTTCTCCTGCTTTTATCCCACCACCAATATTCCCATGTGGGCCTCGTTGCCTCAGGTGGATGTTGGGAAAGCGGGGTGGCAAAGCTGAGCTCTCAGCATTACAAAGAAATGAAGGAATTCAAGAATTTATGGATTTCAATCCAAATTTTCCATGACAAGAGGAGTCTTTTTAGCTGGACAAAAGCTTTTCCTGGCACTGAGGGTGGGTGGGAGCTTCACCCTCAGGTGGTCGCAGCTCCAACCTCTTTCCCTCTGCAGGTGAGGGACTCTCCAGGCTCTGTGCTGGCTTCCAGGAATTCCCAGGAGCTGCTTCCCACGGGAAATGTTGTGTGCCCAGATCCTTGTCCTGGCGGTGGCCACGGGGCCGTTCCAAGCTGGGGCTGCTCATGAAGGTGAGTGACAAGTGACAAGTGACACCTGGGTCACCACGGGTGCAGCACCTGGGACATTTCGGGGAGGAAAACCCCTTTTCCAAGCAGATTTTCCTGGATCCACGCATGGATCTGTCAGGCTGGAGCTGTGGTGCTTTTAATTCCTGCTCAGGATCCTCTTAGGTTGGGATCAGGTGGATAACAGAGCACCTCCAAAGGAATTCAGGGCCTGAATTCCTGCTCTGGGATTCATGGAGAAATCAGGGCTCTGCTCAGTGTCCTGCCTCTGCTCCAGCTCCTGCTCCAGAGGAAGGTGGGGAGAAAGGGAAAACAAATCCCCTCTGAATTCCAAGACCTGCTTCCAGCCACCACACAGGAAATGGGAGAGGAAAAACCTCAAGGAAGCCTTGAATCCTTCTCCTGGTTTTTAGGGAGTCGAGATGGCACAAGGATTCACCTCCCCAGCTCCGTGCAAGCCCAGAAAGAGCTTTTGGGGATGAGGGGCTGGATCCAAAAAGCAGGAGGAAAAAGAATTCCAGGGAAGAGCCTCATGGATGACCCAGGGTGTCCTTTTTTGGTCTTGGGTGGGGAGATCCTTGGGGGCATCCTCCAGAGTGAATCCAGAGCTCCCAGGATTGTCCCAGGCTGGGTGGGATCCTCCTTTTTCCAACAACCCCCAGGTTTGAAGGTGCAGATTCATCTAATTCCATTAAATTCAACCTGGAGTTAATGGAATCTTCAGCATCAGCTCGGAAATTAACTTGATTAAGCTGCTGTCCATCAATTAACCAAGAAACTCGACTCTAAGGCTGTTTAATTCCGGGCTGGGAGCGGGGCAATAAATCAACCTTTGGAGATGTCTCTGGCAAAGCCATGATGGATGGAACAGGATCGTTCTGGAGGTGCATGGAAAATTCCAAATCCCATCCTATCCCCCTGTGATTAATAGAGCTGTCCAGGGTGGGATTTTCTCCAGAAGGTACCAATCCAAATGTCTTTACCATCCCACATTTCCCATGACAGCTCCAGGTGCCTGATCCAAGCAGGAATTACGAGGTTTTGGGAAATTTTTGCCTCCCCAAAAAAAAAGGAAAGCCCCCAGAATGAGGTGGGATTGTCACATTATAGGGAAAAGGGCACCATCCCACCCTTTGGAATCCCTTATTTGTTGTTTTCCTCCTCGTTATCCCTGGATGCAAATGAGGGTGGGGTGAGGAAGACTCTCAAAAATCAGGATGGATGGAGGAAGCTCTGCCATGGACAGGGACCTTCCACTGTCTCAGGTCATCCTGGCCTTGGACACTTCCCAGGACGGGGCATCTCTGGATGAGCAGCTTCTCCTGGGTCAGAACATCCCAATTAGGATTGGATGGAATTAGGAGGAAATTAAGGAGAGCTAAGGAGAACACAACACTCTGGGAAGCACCTAAACACGGTCTTTCCATCCTCTTCCCTTCGGTGTCCTGGGAATTCAGGTGGCTCTGGGGGGTTTCCCTCACTCCGTGGGAATGAGGGATGAGCCTCCCTGTCCCTCTTGTCCCCCAGCCTGCAGGACAGCAGAGGTGGCCAAGGTTCTGTTCCTCGTGGGGCAGTCGGAGGGTGCCGGGGAGGAGAGCTCCCGGCTGCTCCGGGATTTCATCGGGAACGTGGCCAGATCCTTCGAGATGGGAAGAGGAGGAATCCAGCTGGGCCTGGCTCTCTATGGGGAGACACCAAGGTGGGTCTGACCCTCCTCCTGCAGCCACTCCTGCATTCCTGGAATCCAGATCATGGATGAAGAGCTTCTGCAGCTCTGGGGAGCCTCTGAGCAGAGTCATCCAGGGGGGCTTGGCCACAGGGAATTCTTTCAGGGCAGGGAGGATGGGTTTAACACTCAAATTCCAAGTTTTAGATCCTGATTGTGGTACCCACGGTTTGGGGCTCGTTCCCTGCACTCCCCTGACCACTGTGAGGAGAACTCCTTGGCATGAGTTAAATCCATGGAGTGGTTTGGGTGGGAAGGAACCTTAAAGACCATTTAATTCCAGTTTCCATGGGCAGGGATAGGTTCCCTATCCCAGGGTGCTCCAAGTCCCAATGTCCAGCCTGGCCTAGGACACTTCCAGGGATCCAGGGACAGCCACAGCTTCTCTGGGCAACTGGGAAGAAACTAAATGTCAACATTATTGCTGGTTATGGCCATTTTCAGTACATCTCTTTCTCTTTATTCCCTCATCTCTCATTCCCAGGATGAGTGTTGAGCTCACGGATTATGTGACCATCAAAGAAAGGCTGGATGCAGTTCAGGAGCTCTCCTTCCAAGGCAGCAGTCTCCAAACAGGCTCAGCCCTGGCTTTTGCAGCTCAGGCCTTGGCTCAGGACACCCTGAGAGAGGAGGCAGCAAAGGTGGGTGAGCTCCTGAGGTGTTGTCAGGGAGCAGCTGGGTCATCCCAGAATCCTGGAATGGTTTGAGTCGGAAGGGAACTCAAAGCCCACCCAGTGGCACCCCTCTGCCATGAGCAGGGACACCCTCCACCATCCCAGGCTGCTGCAAACCCCATCCAACCTGGCCTTGGGCACTGCCAGGGATCCAGGGACAGCCACAGCTGCTCTGGGAATTCCATTCCAGGGCCTCCCCACCCTCCCAGCCAGGAATTCATTCCCAATATCCCATCTAACCCTGCCCTCTGGCAGTGGGAAGCCATTCCCACTTTGTCCTTTCGCTCCATGATCTTGCAAGTTGTGTTGGAAGAATTCTTTCCTAGTATCCAATCCAAACCTAGTCCTCCCTTGGGAGATGCTCATGAGGACTTGTAGGGATGAATCCTCTCCCTGTGCTGGCAGGAATTTCCTCCTGGAGTTCCTGCCCCGAGCAGGGATGAGCCCCAAGGGGAGGAGGGCCTTGCAAGAAGATCCTCAGGGGAGCTGCTCCTTCCCGGCTCATGGCAATGATTCCATGGGAGTTTCCTCAGAGCTGCTGGGTTTTTGAAGGGTTTAATTCCAAGAGAGGGGATTTCAGGGATGCAAAACCCCACAGCTCTCACCCTGACCTCCTGATGTTGGGCCTGCTTCTTCCCTGGCTCTTATCCCAACTCTTGCAGGTGGTGGTTCTGATCACGGATGGGAAATCCAGCGATTCCGTGGAAGAGGGAGCCCGGATCCTGCAGGATGGGGGGGTGACAGTGTTTGCTGTGGGTATGTGTGGCCACCAAAACCTCTGTGTGACCAACCCTCCTTCTTCTCCATGGGGAATACTCCTGATTCACAGCACCCTCTTCCTAAAAACTGCTCCCATCCCCAGGCTCGGCCTTTGGAAACCACTGCAAATCCAGGAAAATTGTTGTGTTCTTGGATATTTTTGTTGTTGTGGTCAAAAACTGATTTATTTAGTGAGAATCTGTGGGTTTGTATCTGTCAGAGCCACTTGGGAATTCAGAAGGGGTTCAATAAATGGTTCCATTAAATGTTTTGATGTGACATTTAGGAAAAAAAACAATTGAAAATGCTTTTGCTTCTGAAGTTTTCTCTTAATGGGACTTAGAGACTGACTCAAAAATGTCCCTCAAAATAATTCCATGAGCAACAAAAGTGGTCCCACTTCTCCCCCCATCCCCAAGATTGAAATTCCACCAGTCAAATCCTTCCCTTTCCCCAAATATCTCAGGGAATGACAGGAATGGTGGTGGGGTTTCAATACAAAGAGCAGCCAGGTTGATTTGAACAAATATGAGGTAAGAATTGGGGAAGGATGGGTTTGTTGGGTGGGTTTTCCCCCCTTTTTTTGGTTCAACCACAGGAGCACCCTGGAATTTCCAAAAACCTTCCCAAAATCCCGTTGTCTGCTCGGCACAGGAATGTGTCTGTACCCAATGGGAAGGACAAGGCTGGATCCTGCCCTGTTCCTTTTTTCCCCACCTCTCAGCCCATTAGCAGCACTGACACAATCTCTATGACACCTCTGGAGAAATCCTGACCTCTGTTCCCTGGTGGAAGAGGCTTCCTCTGCTTCTCCCATCCAGCTTGAGACTCCATTCCTTGTTCCCTCCTTTTCCTAGGGAGCACAACCCAAAATTGGTGTCAAACTCAAAGCCCAGCACGTTGCTCCCCCTTTCCAAAGCCTGCCTGCCCCATGGATGGTGTTTGATGTCCTCTTTTCCTGCTCTTTCCCTCCCCTAGGGATTAAGGATGCTGACAAGAACGAGTTGGGCAGGATTGCTTCAGATCCCACTGCGGAGCACGTGCTTTACGTGGAAGATTTCCAGCTGCTCCCAAATGTGGCTCCCAAACTCTCTCGGAGGCTCTGCTTCACAGCCTCGGAGCCACCACGTCCTGTCAAGCAGAGGGAGCAAGGTGTGTCCAGGCTCTCCCTTGATCCTGCTTTCCTTCTGCTCAAACCAGTTTCTGGATGTGCTTCCATGGGGATGGACTTCCTACATCCCTCTGAGGGAGCTGGAGAGGTTGGGTGATCCTAGAGGAGCAACCAGCTCACGGAGCAGCTCCTGCTTTGGGGACAGTGGTCCTGGGTGTTTTTCTTGTGGCTGCCTCTCCATGGTTTGTTTAGGGATGCCAGATCCTGGGAATTTTGATGCTGGATCAAACAAAAGGAGCAGCAATGGGATGGAGCAGCATTTCTGCTCCTTGGGGTATTTCGTTGTGGGATTGTCACAGGGAATTCTGGCAGCAGAGCTCAGGGTCTGGGGAAGAACTTCATTCCCTGCTGAAGGTGAAAAGAGGTTTCCAAAGAGGTTTCCAAAGAGATCCAGACACTGCAATGAATCCAGAGGTGATGGCACTGAATTCCTGCCCCTTCTTGGTTCAGGAGAAGCTGAGTTAAAAGCTTGGGGTAGAAATGGGGAGAACTTCACCTGAGACTTTAAAGGGTCTCTTTTTTTTTGGCTTCTTCTGTGGTTCTGCAACACTTCAGGGCTTCCTGTGATATTCCATGGAAAATCCAGGCTTCCTGTGACATTCCATGGAGAGTCCAAGCTTCCTGGCAGATTTATCCAATGTCGGGAAGGAGAAGGGCAGGGAGGAGCTGCTGCCCATGCATTAACCAGGTTTCACTGGGGAAGTGTAACCAGAACCAATTTTGGTTTCCTGCTTTGTGCTGTCAAAAAACTGGCCAAAAAAAAAAAAATTCCTGATGGATCATCTCCTGTCTGGAAACAGATCCCAGGTGTCCCTGTGCTCCCAACCTGAGTGACACCCACAGCTTTCTCTGTGTGGAATGTGTTGACTCCGTCCATGAACGTCACATGTGGTGGAATCCAATCCAAACTCTTTCCTTTGTGTTTTTGCAGCTGAGCAGATCCTGGGCCCTCGGGAGCTGCGTGTGAGTGAGCACAGCCACAGCTCCCTGAGGCTCTCGTGGGTGGCAGCCACGGGCAGGGTGACAGGGTACCATGTCCATGTCCTCCCCTTGCTGCCACCGGGGCAGCCGGAGCCGGAGCACCAGCGGCAGGTAGGGTCATGTTCCCATTTTCCAGGCATCAGTTGGTTTTCAGTTCCTAATGTTGGGTTTCAGTTCCCAATGTTGGGTTTCAGTTCACAAAGCTGGGGGTTCATCCTATGTTGAGGGCACAGCCTGGTTAGGAGATGGCACCATGTCCTTCAGCCATCCTGGATCCTTCAGCCACATCCCTCACCCATCAGCCATCCTGGCACAGTGGGATTGGCAGGAATTCCTGAGGGTTGAAGTGAAACTGTAGATCCATTATGGGTGTAGATCCACCAGTTTCAATTCCCAACGTTGGGGGTTCATCCCGTGTTGAGGGCACAGCCTGGTTAGGAGGTGGCACCATGTCCCGCAGCTATCCTGGTCACAACAGAATTGGTGGGAATTCCTGAGGCTTGACATGAAGCTGTAGATCCACCATGGGTGTGGATCCACCATGGGATCCACCAGTTTCAGCTCCCAATGTTGTGGTGTCATCCCATACTGAGGGCACAGGCCAATTAGGAGGTGGCACCACATTCCTCAACCATCCCGAGCACAGAAGGATTGGAGGAAATTCCTGAGGATTGAAGTGAAGGTGTAGATCCACCATGGGATCCACCAGTTTCAGTTCCCAAAGTCAGGGGTTCATCCCGTGTTGAGGGCACAGCCTGGTTAGGAGGTGGCACCACATCTCTCAGCCATCCCAGACACAGTGGGATTGGCAGGAATTCCTGAGGCTTGACATGAAGCTGTAGATCCACCATGGGTGTAGCTCCACCATGGGATCCACCAGTTACAATTCCCAGTGTTGGGTTTCAGTTCGCAATGTTGGATGCTTGGTTAGGAGGTGGCACCCAACCCTCCCAATATCCAATCCTTTCTCTCCTTATCTTTATGATGCCACCACTCAATCCCATCCAGCCTCCCTGGCATCATCTCCTGCCCCTCCTGCTGCCAGAGTTGTTCATTCTGGTAAGATCTCAGTGGATTTGGGGATTTTCCATGTCCTTGTGTGAGGGATGCTGCCGTGTGCTTCAGTTCATCCCACACCGCACAAAGTTTGGGAGTTAGACTGAAGGGTAGAAGATACTTGCCCTAAAAGCTTTGATTCCTAATAATAGAACAAAGCTATGAAAGCTTAAATTATTAAGGTGGAGATTATTAATTGTATTAATTATTAAAATTGTATTTAACTGGAATGATCATCCTTGGCAGCTTCTGTGTTTTCCCTGTTATTATGAGATCCTGAAGTTCTGTTTCCATCTCTTGCCCTCAGGTTACATCAAAAATTCCTTCTCTGAGCTTAAAAGGAACTTTCTTGGTTGTTTTTTCCTTCATTTTCTTCAAAGGAATTTGAGATCACCTTTACCCTTAATGCACTCTCCATGTTTTATTTCCTGGGCTATTCCATGGGCTATTCCACAATTTGAGGATCACAACATCCGGGTGAGGGCCATAAGAGGCTCCTGCTCATGGAAATCACCTTGAGCAGGTGTGGGAGGTGACCTGCTGTTCTGCTGTGGTGTAACGGTGTCCCTTGTCCCCCTGTGTGACAGGTGGAGGTGGATGGGGACACAACCACGGTGCTGGTGACAGATCTGAAGCCCAGCACCAAATACGTGCTCACGGTGAGGGCCAGCTATGGAGGGGCCCTCGGGGAGCCAGCAGCCACCAAAGGGAAAACAAGTGAGTGTCCCCTGGGAAACACCCACCCCAAAGCTGGGGTGGAGGGATGGGTGGAGGGATAATGGATGGATGGGTGGATGGATGGATGAGGGAGGGAGGTGGGATGGTGGGGTGGATAGCAGGATGGATGGTGGAATGAGAGGGAGGGATGATGGATGGTGGGATGGATGGATGGTGGGATGAATGGATGGATGGTGGCATGGGTTTGGAGCTTCAAAGTTTATTAGAGAAGCTTCCATTGAGTCCTGAGGTGTAGGAAGCTCCTTGGCTTTCCAAACTCCTCCAAGAGGAGCCTGGACGGAGCTGGATCCAATCCCAGCCCTGGATTGTCAATGGATTAAATGTGAGGAATTATAGAGGTGTGGTTGGACCTTTGTCCAAGGATTAAAGATGGCAAACCAGGTTTATTTATGTTATATAAAATTTGTATTAAAATTAATGATTTCTTATGATAAATGATTAGATTAAAATACCTTAATCAGAATTATTTACTGCACAGTAGAGAAGCTAAAACTACCAGGATAGGACAGAATCATGCACTTAATCAAAGTAATTATACTATACTAATTATATTGAAGTAATTATATTAAAGTAATTGTAATAAAATTAGCAAAAAAAAAAAAAAACCAAACCCCAATTATTGAAGTAGAGATTGATGTCACTCACCCAGACCAGTGTCCAGGGGCAAATCTCTTCTGCTGACCTTCAAGGGGTGACTTTGAGGGGTGTCCCCACCCAAAGCAGGAATCTCCATTCCCAAGAAGGGACATGGGGATATGTCAGGAGAACATTTGAAAGTGGGACTGGACTTCCATCACCTCTGCTTTTAGGGAGTTTCAGAGTTTAAGGGGTTCACTAATCCCCCTCTGCTCCCTGGATGAAGCTCCAATCCTGCTTTGCCCGAGGGGTTTTGTAAAGAATTATTCCTTTCTTCCCTGCCTTTTGTTCTGCCCCGCACCCCCTGCCATGTCTGGAATTGTTTATCTTCTTGAGGGGAGATCTCTGACAGGATGAATAAATAAAGCTCCTCAATGAGGTTTGACTCATCTGTACTTGCCAGGAAGAAGATGGAATGTCTTTATGGGTGGAAATAAAGCCATTTGATCTCTCCTCTTATTATCCCCAACACGAAGCCAGAGGCAGGAGCCATAAATCCGTCTGCCATGGCTGGCTGGATCCAAATGGGCTCCTCTCCCTTGGAATTGTGGCCGTGGGAGCAAAGCAGGCTTTGATTCATGGCTTTGATTCCTGCTCAGTCTGCAAGAACTGCAGAGTTTCCCCTGCCCAGGACAGATTTTCTCTGCTTGTGAGAAGATATTTCAGATCCCAACACCATTCCCGGAGAAAACTCCCAAACTTTCTGCCTTGGGATGTTTCATCCCTAATTTCAGGTGGGAAAAGGGTTGGTAGGAGGGGCATTGTTGGTTTTAAGGAATCAGAGTTGGTGCTTCTCCTCTTTGTGTCTCTCTGTCCCTGAAGACAAAAGATTTTCCAAGGATCTTTTCCATTATTCAGCACTTCCACCTCCATTTCTGCCCCATTTTTGTGTCCCCAAAGCTCCTGTGCCTCCAGTCACCAATTTCCGTGTGATAGAAGAAGGACTTTTCAGCCTGAAGGTGGCTTGGACACCTCCCCTGGGCAAACTGGAGGGCTACAAGATCTACATCCCCAGGGGTGAGTTTTATTAATTTTTTATTAATTTTATTAATTTAAATCAAATTTTAATTTATTTTTCTTATTTTTTCTTGACGTTTGCTTTAAAAGGAGCAGTGATCCAAGGACAGGGAAGGCGCTGTGAACTCCTGGCATGACTCTGGAAAGAGTCCAGGATAGACTTTTCCAAATATTGTGGTTCTTCCAGGATAGAGGAGAGTCCTTGGAAGGATTTTCCTTGGAAGAACAAGCTGAGGATGGCACTGTGAATTCCTTGTTTGCCCTGGCACATCCAGATGTTTCTCCCTCTCAAGTGCCCGCTCTGGTGGGGATTTGGGATTACTTTGGGATGCCTCCCACTCCCCTCTGTGGGATCTGAGGGCTGGGTCAGCACAGCCAGAATTCCAAGCCAACCCCACATGGATTGGGAGACTCCAACCACGCCCCTGAGCCACCTCCATGGTGTGAAGACCTCCCTGTGGGATTTGGCCTCATGGGAAGGCTTCACCATCCCTTTTCTCCTTGATCTTGCAGCCAACAAGCCCGGGGTGACCCTTGAGCAGATCCTGCGGGGCGATGTCTCTTCCCACCTGCTGGAAAACTTGCAGGAGGACAGGGAATACAGCATCAGCATCTATGCCGTGTATCCTGAAGGGCCGAGCCAGCCCGTGGCTGCTCTGGGGAGGACACGTAAGAGCTGGGACCCCATGGTTGGTCCCTTTTGTCCCCAGCTGTCTTCAGAGGTGGTGCCCTCATGCACCAGGATCTTCCCAATTCCATCCTAACTCTTCCCCCATGGACATCCTCAGTGCCATCCTGCCGTTTGGGGGAATGTGGGAGGTTCGTTTTCCCTCCTGTTTTGCACCCACACTTCACAAGGTTGGTGCTCGGAGATGTTTGGTCCTGGATAGTTACAGGTTGGGCTGTTCTCCCTCTGGTTTATGAGGTGCCTTCAGCCCCTGGGCAGGAGCTCCTGGAAATCCCACTCTTGGAATCATTAAGGCTGGAAAAACCCTCTAAGATCCCTGTATCCAACTGTCCCCAGCACTGCCGTGTCCCCAAATGCCAAAATCCATATGGCTTTGAATTCCCTCCAGGGATGAGACTCCAACACTGCCCTGGGCAGCTCTTCCAGTGCCTGACCACACTTTCCATCAAGAAGTTTTTCCCAAAATCCAACCTAAACCTCCCCTGGCACAGCTTGAGGCCATTCCCTCTTGTCCTGTCCCTCATTCCATGGGAGCAGAGCCCAGTCCCACCCAACCACCTCCTTTCAGGTGTTCCCTTCACCCAGCTGAGCTGGAGGAACATTCATGGACAGCCAGCAAAGTCCTCCACTCCCAATGGATGTTCTGACATTTTCTTTCCTTCCTCCTTCCAGTGAAGCTCCTGCCTGTGGAGAACCTCTTGCTGCAGAACGAGACCACGGACACGCTCCAGGCCCGGTGGAGCCCTGTCCGGGGAGCCACGGGATACAGGCTCACCTGGACATCAGCAGGTATGGATGGGGTGGGATTCAGGCTCAGCTGGACATCAGCAGGTATGGATGGGGTGGGATACAGGCTCACCTGGACATCAGCAGGTACAGACAGGGCTGGGGTGTGCATCAGTGAGCAGAGCATGGAAAGATGGGAGCTGTGAGATTCCCAAGAATGTTGGACGCACTTTGGGTTGGATTGGATTCCATCTGTGTCCAGAGGGAATTGGGATTTTTTTGGGGACTGTAGCCAGTGGAGTTTTCTCTGCCATGGACAGAAAAATTCCTGCTGTGGCTCTGGGTGAAGCAGGCTGGTGGATATCCAGCCTTGTTACATGGAATTATTATTCCTTGAGGAATCTTGGAATAGCTGAGAGGAGCTGAGAAAACCCTCCCTGCAGAGCTGCACAGCCCCTGAGTATTTGGGGTCACCCCTTTTTTGGGGGACAACTGAGTGCATGATTTTTGGGGGGACAGCCTGGTAGTGCCTGTGCTCATGGCTTTTTCTCTCTGCAGCATTAAAACCAGGCTGCATTCCCCAGAATCCTAATTTTTAGGCAAATTTGAGAGTTTGGAGACAGATCCACCTTTGCAGCTGGAGCTTTTCCCCTGCCCTGAGCCCAAGCATATTTTCCGTGGTGCTGGGAGGGGGAGCAGGAGTGAGAAATTCCAGTTGGATGGCAGATTTTGGCCTTGGGAGATGGATGTTTCTAGGGCTCAGGGATGTCAGGACACCTGGCTCTCTCCAAGGCTTTGAACAAAAAAACACATTTTCCTCTCCCTCAGCTCCCCTGGTTATGGTGGAAGGAGACATCTCCCCCCAGGAAAGGTGGGGATTAGTGGGAGAACAGCTCCAAATGTCACCAGGAGGGAAAAACCTTCACAGGGAAGGCATAAAACAGCTTTTATGGTTTTATAATGAACCCAAAACTCAGCAGTTTGCCCAGGCTGTGCCCAATATCCCAGCTAGGAATGGAGCTCTGTCTGGGAGTGGGGACACTGAGGGGACAGTGGGACAACCACATCACCTCCACCCCGATTTTCCATCTCCTTTTGCACCTGGTACAGCTCACCCTAATTCCAGGGGTGGAAAATCCCAAGGGTACCCCGCCCTGGCCTCTGAGTCCTCTTCCCAAATTCCACCCCATGCCGGGATTGGGGATGTGGTGATGGGATCCAGACCCTGTTGCCCATCCCAAGCACGGCAGGGGTTTGGTTTTCCTCGTCTGACTTTTAAAACCGGGATTAGATGAGCACGAAGTGGAGATGGGAGCTGTGGAGAGCAGGTGGGAAAAGGGGGATGGGGCTCCGGGTGCTGCTGGAACAGAAAATGGGAACGTGGCACCATCCAGTGACCAAACTGGAAAAGGCATTTTCCCTCTCTCAGAGGTTTCCCTCGACTGGGAATCAGGGGTGGATCCACAGGAATTCGGTTTTAACTCTTCTCCTGCTGGGCACGTTTAGCTGAGCCGGGTTTAGCCCACAACAAGCACATTAAAACTGCTTTTTGGGGCATCGCTGGCTTCAGTTCCTGCAGGGAAGGCAGCACGGAGTCACCCAGGGCTGGGCAGGCTGTGGAGCCTTTTATGGGATCACTCCCAGACCCCAACGTGCCCGGTTTGGGGTTTTCCTGGTTTATTCTGGGCTAAGCCCGGGGACACAGGCTGAGCCTGGGGACATGGGCTGAGCTTGGGGACATGGGCTAAGCCCGGGGACATGGGCTGAGCTTGGGGACAGGGGCTGAGCCTGGGGACACGGGCTGAGCCTGGGGACACCGTTTCCTTCACAGAGGGCAGCATCCAGGACGTGACCCTCGGCAGCTCCTACAGCTACTACATGATCCAGGGGCTGGCGCCGGGCGTGGAGCACACGGTGACCATCAACCCCATCTTTGGGGACATCGAGGGGCCGGTGGTGACTGGCAAAGCCACCACAGGTGAGTGTCCTGCAGCAGGGGTGGCATTAAGCCCATGCAGACATGGGAGGTGCTGGCACAGAGTTGGTGTCACTTCTGTCACTTCTCTGCATTGCTGGGTTTGTGTCACCGTCATGTTTTCTGGGAAAATCCCTTTGCCCAGGATTTCTCTCCTGGGAAGCCAAGAAGCCTCAGAGGAAAAGGAAAACAATATTATCTCGTTTGCTTCTCCTGTGTTTTGCTGCTTTGGAATGTGGTTTGGAAATTATTTATCCAACAAGTAGTTTCATGTGAATTGTTTTTACTTATTAACCAATCAGAAGCCAAGCTGTATCAAACTCTGGAAGAGAGAGTCACAAGTTTTTCATTATTATCTTTTAGCCTTCTGTCTGAATCCTTTCTCTATTCTTTAGTGTAGTTTAGTATAGTATTCTTTAATATAATACAGATCATAAAATAATAAATTAGCCTTCTAAAAACATAGAGTCAGATTCCTTCCTTTCCTTCCAACATTGGGGAACCCAGAAAATACCAAAATACCACAGGTTTGGGGAGCTCTTTGATGCTGTTGGGACCTCAATGGAACTGGGCAACTCTTCTCTCCTGCAGTGGCATCCAGCACTGTCCAGATGCTGAAAGTGAGTGAGATTTCCATCAACAGCCTCCTGGTGTCCTGGGATTCAGTCATGGGAGCCACCGGCTACAGGGTGGCCTGGGGTCCGACACCAGGTGAGATCCCTCTCTGCTCTCCCTGGAATGGGAGAGCCTCAGGAGTGGTGGGAGTAGGGCAGGTCCAACCTGGAGTGGTGGGAGTAGGGCAGGTATAGCTCATGAACTGCTCCAAGCAGCCTCACCCACAATTCCAGAGCATGAACTGAAGCCAGGGGTTATTCCTGGCCCTGAGGTACCATCCTGGCCCCAGCCCCACACAGAGTGAGGTCCCAGGAAGGAGACAGGGAGCATTCCCAGATTCCTGTGGTCCCTGGATGTCAGATGGTTTGGATTCAGTTCCTCTCAGCTGGTTTGGATCATTTAGGTGTTAAAATTCCAAAATGAGTAACCACAGGAAAACCCTCCCTTGGCCTGGCGAACACATGGAATCCCAGCATCACTGAGGCTGGAAAAGACCTCCAAGTCCAAGTTGTGCCCAATCCCCTCCTCGTGATGGAAATGCCACATCCAGCTGGACACCTTTAGGGATGGGCACTCCAAACCTCCCTGGGCAGCCCCTTTCCAATGCCTGACCACGCTTTCCATGAGGAAATTCCTCCTGAATTGTCCTGGAGCAGGTGTCCTCCAGCAGAGGGAACACGGTAGATTTCCCAGGATGCAGCAGAGCTGCTCTCCAGACTCTTTCTCCTCTTGTGTTCTATTTTCTCTTCCAAAGAATTCTTTGGCAAGGACCGTCCCCGCCACCTGTCCCTCGGCAAGTCGGTGACGTCCCAGCAGCTCCGCAGCCTGGCCCCTGACACCGAGTATGTGATTTCTCTGTCCGTGCTCTTCGGCTCCGGGGAGGGCCCCGGGGTCACCACCTCGGCCAGGACAGGTGGGTGCAGGTGGCATGGTGGAGTAGCTGCCACAGAACATAACCTCTGTGTATCTGGTTCGACCTCATGTATCCCTGACTGGGGCTGTTCCAGTGCTCCGGGCTTGGGAAGAGCTTCAGATTTGTAAGATCCCAGTTGGTTGAGGTTGGAATGGTTGGAAGGTTTGGAAGGGTTGGAAGAGTTGGCAAGTTTGGAAGGGTTGGAAGAGTTGGAAGGGTTGGAAGAGTCGAAAGTTTGGAAGGGTTGGAAGAGTTCAAAAGTTTGGAAGGGTTGGACGAGTTTGGAAGGCTTGGAAGAGTTGAAAGGGTTGGAAAGTTTGGAAGGGTTGGAAGAGTTGGAAGAGTTTGAAAGTTTGGAAGGTTTGGAAGAGTTGGAAGGGTTGGAAAAGTTTGGAAGGGTTGGAAGAGTTGGAAGGGTTGGAAGCCCATCTTGTTCCAACACCTTCCACTAGCCCAACATGCTCCAGGCCACATTCAACCTGGCCTTGGATGTTTGCAGGTGTGAAAAAGTGCTGTTTCTCCAGGTGAGGATGAGGAGACACCAAGGATAAACAAAGATGCCATTTTTAACTCTTTGATATAATTTTGACTCATTAACGTGCCAATGATGAGCCTTTGGGCAAGAATCAGGACACTCCTGATGTTTTCCCCATCCTGCAGCTCCTCTGGGATCTGTCTCCAACTTCAAGGTGACGTCCCACACCAGCACCAGCCTGTCCTTGGCCTGGAGTGCCACAGCCGCTGCCACCAAATTCAAACTCAGCTGGACCCCTGTGGGAGCAGGAAAAGGTGAGCAGGGAAAGGACATTCCAGGCACCTTCCCAAATTCCTGACCTACTCCTTGGGGGATAGGAATGAGATCCCACAGCTGGGAAACTTGATCCTGTTGGAGGTCCTTCCTCCTCTTTGTTTTCATGGTTTTATTTATGGAGATAATCCCCAGAGCTCAGGGACAGCAGTGCAGCAATTTCCTTTGGAGGAAGGAAGTGAGCTCCAGACTCTGAAATATCCCTGTTTTTCCAGGAAAACAGGTTGCCAGGACTCGGTACCTGGGCAGCAGAGTGTTGGCTCATCGGATTGACCACCTGGTGCCCAACACCCTGTACAGGGTCAGTGTCCGGGCTGTGTTCAGCAGGACCGAGGGGCCCGAGGTGATCCTGACTCACCACACAGGTAAGTCCTGCTGGAAAAACCCTCCTTCAGTTGGGAGGCGAAGCTTGGATTGCTCTTGGGCGTGGGATTGGCTCAGTTGGTCATAAAAACAGCAAAGTTTTGGCTTCAATCCTCGTGTTCATTCATTTAAGATCTGGACTCCATGATCCTGGTGGATCCAGCTCAGGATATCCTGTGGATGGTGGAGGCATCAGCAGCCCTCACTGCTGGTGGCAATAATCCGTAGCTGTTCCCGTGGGAGGGAGTGGACACATCCTTCTGGCACATTGGACAATCCTGGATTTATCAATGGAATTCCCAGAATTATTTATCCACAACCACCTTGGGAATGCAGGAGCCTCTCCGCAGGCACCACCCAGGGTCACTCACCAGCCTTCACTCCTGAGTTTTTGGGAATTCCTTGGATTGTGGCTCTGCCTCTTCCAACATGGAGTTCTGGCTCCTTTCCTTGTCTTCTTCGCCTGAGTCCATTTCAATGAGTTTTTAGTGGAATTTGAAGACTTGTCTGGATGATCCATCCTCTCCTGGAGCTCTTTTCATGTCCCTCTGTGTGTCACCAGTTTGGTGTGGGTGGTGAGAGATGTGGATGAGATTCCTCAGCTTGGATTCCATGGATCCATTAGGAATTTCAGCCTGAAATCCTGGATAATGTTTGGAAAGTAGTTATTGAATGAATGCCCAAATTTTTCTCTTCCACCACAGCTTGGAACCATGGTGATACTCTGGGACTGAGCTGAAATCTTATCCTGGTTCATTTTTCCAGCTCCTTCTGGAGATTCCAACCCCATCCTGACCATCCAGGACCTGAGGGTTACCGACACTGGTGTCAACACTTTGAAGCTGGCTTGGAAAAGGCTTCCTGGGATAAGTCACTACAAGATATCCTGGAAGCCATCCAATGGTAAGAATCCCAATCCTTGGTCAGGGAACACAAGGAACACATGAAAATGGGGAGTTTGGCTCAGGAAATTCCTTTTTCCATGGGTGGTTGGGGTAGGTGGGGATCTCAGTGTCTACAAGAACAGGTTGAACTCCTCTAAACAAGCCCTGAGCTAAGCTTTAGGCTCTAACCAAGGATATAAATATAGCTGGGATTTGAGAATTCCAAGAATTAGTTCCTTTCCACATTTATGACCAGATCTCTCCGCTGCCTGTGCCTCAGTTTCCCCGTTGGCAAAATGATTCTCTAAGTCTCCTCCCTGGCCAGGTCCTCTCAGGTGTGTGTGAAGCTGCTGTAACAATGACTGTTACACTTCCCTTTCCATGGACACCGTGGGTTTTTTGGGATGTCTCCTCTCAGGTGACTCGGAATCCTCCCAGCTGGTCCCGGCGGAGGCCATTTCCTTCGTGATTCCCAAACTGAAGGACAACACCACCTACACCATCTCCATGTCTGCAGTGGGAATGGGGCAGGAGGGAAACCCCACGGTCCTCACGGCCAAAACCTGTGAGTATGGGATTCATGGATTGGGATAAGAGCAGCTCCATAGGGGAGTGAAAGAAAAAGAACAGTTTTGGCTGATGGACGCCTTATTCCCAGAATTCCAGAATGTTTTGGGTTGGAAGGGGCCTTGAAGATCATCCGCTTCCAACACCATCTGTAGACCAGGTTGGTCCAAGCCCCGTCCAACCCGGCCATGTTTCTTCTCAGATCCCACCAAAAACCAGACATCGATCCTTTCTTCTTATTACTGAGGAATGTTGGGATCTCCCTGTCTTCCCCTGCCAACAATTCCCATTTTTGTGGCACATTATCTTGGAATTCCGTCTTCATGCAATATCTTGACCATTTCCAGTGGTAAAAGCCAACATCCCTCATGAGTTGTGCTAAAATGGGCAGGTTTGAGATCAAACAGAGGAGAAAGTCAGGGATGTGGAGCCAACTATGGGATTTCAGGGAGCATCTGGGAAAAAAATACCACAGGAAAAACTTCATTATCCATAACGAAAACTCAAGTTTCAGTCAGTTTAAAGTCCAGACTGAAGATCTGACAAAATTTCCCCCAATTCCCACCAAATGAGAACCTGGTTGGATTCAGCTTCTTGGAAAACACCTGAAATGCTGGAGGAACTCCTTCCTCTCACCAGAATCGTGGAATTTGGGAGGCAGAGATGTCCCCTAAGCTTTGTCCCTTGCTTTTCCAACAGTGGATTTGCCCAAAGTGATGGAATTCACCGTGCAGGAGGCCACGGATTCCAGCATTTTGTTGTCCTGGAATTCTGTTCCTGGAGCATCCCTGTATTTACTGACATGGGGATTGTCCTCAGGTAACGTTTGTTGTGGGAAGGAAACCCTGATCCATCCCCTGAGCTCCTCTGGATCCTGTTTAGCAGGAGAACCCTGGGGCTTTCCATGGGTTCCTTCATCTCAGCTTCTCCATTTGGCTGAAAAAGAGGGAAAAATGGGAACTGGAGGAGCCTCACAAAATGTCCCATTTGGCCCATTGCAAAATCCTCGGGGGAAGAAAAAAAGGAGGGGTGGGAATAGCTCAGGAAAAACTAATTTTGGCATTGTCTGTGTCCCTTCCTGTCCATCAAATCCACCAAAAAAAGGTGGACTTTTGTCATCCATGAAACCTCATTTTTATCTGTTTCAAATCTCTGCTCTCCTGTGAAAGGCTTTTAAAAATTCCTTAATCATTCCTCACCATTCCTTTGGCTTTTCAGGATTTGCCCTTTAAACCATCAACTCCATTATTTTTTCCTGGATTGGACTAAAATCCTCTTTGAATTTGGAGTTTCCCATCCTGTGGCTTCAACCACAAAGTTTTTTCTAGGACAGTTCATGTCCAAAGTGAATAAAGAAACCAAATCCAATGGAATTCCCTGTGCTGCCTGCAGTGCTTTGGAGCTACCAGAAGCTTTAATTTATTTATTTTTTTTTAATTCCAAGGATATTTCAGGATTAGCAGCTCCATACTTGCAGGTTGTATCACTCAGGATGAACCATCCCATGACAGCAGCATATTTTTTGGGGATTAATATTATGGAAAAGCAATTTGGGAACAGAACCTTTGGATCTCTGGGGTGATTTTAGTGATCCAAAGCAACTGTTCCCCTTCCTGTGCTGTGCTGTTCAAATATTGATCCGGAAGGACTCAGAAATCCCTGATTTCAGAGTTGTCAGGGAATCAGGAATGGATAATCCCATGCCTGACAGTCCCCCTGTGCCCTCCCTCCATCGATCCAGCTGGAATGGGTTCATAAATATTGATTTCCCATCACCAGCAGATGAATCCTGACCCCACTTCTCCACAGGATAAAATTTACACTCCTGAGTGAGTAATTCCAATTTTTCCTGGTTAATTATCCTGACTGCCAACATGGGTGTATAAAAGCAATTAAAAATTTGGTCCATATTTTTTGTCTTGATTAATTTTCCTCCACACAACTTGATTTTTTTTCCTAAATAAAACATTGGTTTATTACACATTTTCCTTGCTCCTTTTTAAGCTCACTTAATGCCCATTTCCCTTCATTCCATCCAGCCTGTCCCATAAAAATTTGGATTCCTTTCTTTTCCACTTGGGATCATTCCACCTGTGGATCAGACAAAATAAACCAATTATGGCTATTTTGACTCGACTTCCCAAAAAGAGGGAAGCACAAGAGTTTAAGTCAAATTTCAAGAGGGATTTTGCTATTTTATTTAAAGGATGAAAACTTCCCTTACAAAAATTTTTGTGGAGAATTGAGAACAGCAAACTGGATTTGATCTTTGGAGATCTTTTCCAACTTTAATTCTATCAGTTGATGACATTGGAGCAGATTATTTGCACTGATTTTATTTCTTGCCATACAAACTGAGCTTTTTGGGTGATTTTTTTAAAGTAAAATGCTATTTCAGAATAAAAAAGGTGTCAAATTCATAATTTATTATTTCTAAAGTAAAGCACTTAGGAAATGTCAGTCATTATTATGACAATTTTTCCTATCATTATTTTAAATCAAAACTATGAATTGTGTGCAAACAAATTTCTCAGTCAAGTCTGATTTTATTTTTCATCAAACTTTCCATTCATTCCCAAAAAGGAATCTTATTTCTATCCATAAGAACCACTTAGATAGAAATTGCTCTCTCAGCCTTGAGCACCACTTGCACCAAATTCCCTAAATTCCAAATTTTCAATGCACAAAATCAACCTAATTTCATCTGGTTTAGGACCTGACCATTGCACTTTGTAAATTATTTGCTTTTGCTTCTTCTCCGAATCCTGGGAATCATCCCCAAATTCCTGTTTGCCAACAGGGATGCCACCGAAATGGGAATTACTCTGTGTTTTTCTGGCTCTCAGTCATGTTCCTCCCGTTTTCCACAGCTCCCACCCTTTCCCAGGAATTGTTGCCAGCAACTTCCCGATCCTATCGAGTGGCAGGGCTGAGCTCCAAGGAAATGTATTTGTTTTCCATAAAACCAATGTTTGGAGACTCTGAGGGACCGGAGACGACGCTCCTTGGACAAACAGGTATGAAGGATGGAGACCTGGATTTTCCAGGGAAAACTGCTCTTGAGGCTGATTTTTTGGGGTTTATACCCTTTTTCTCTTTGCTGGAGAAGCTAAAAGAGGTTTAAAATTCACCTTTTTTGTTTGGGTCTTACAGCAGGAGCTGCCAGGGAGCCACCAACCGCTCCAGCGGCTCCTGCACCGTTGGATATGAGGAAATCTCCATCTGGATCTCCCAGCAGTGTGGGGACCACTCCTCCCCCAGTGCCCACCAGTACAAAACTCCCAGAGCCCCCAGTTTGGACCAGCACGGTGTCGGCACCACTGACAACCCTGCCTGGGCCCAGTGAGTGTGGGGATGATCATGATGATGATGATGATGATGATGATGATGATGATGATGATGATGATGATGTAGAAATAGTCAAAGCTTAGAGACCAAGATCTTCTCTGATCCAAATCGTAGAGACCAAGACCTTCTCTGATCCCAGGAGCTAAAACTTAATTTTAAGCTAAAACTTAACTAAGGCCTTAATTCCCTGCGTAACGAGAGTGGACAATGTCAGGGAAGGCCCAAACCCCATCAATGTGGTGAAGGCCTCAGCACTACCCTGAGGGGTGAAGGTGCTGCTGCTCACCCAAAAATTGGCATCACAAGAGGTTTGGGGTTTGATTTGGTGCTCTGAGCACACAAAACCCCAGGATTGTGCTTTAGGATCCCTCAGCTTACGGAATTCCTCTCTTCCCTCTGCAGTTTGTGGGAAGCTCAAGGCAGACGTTGGGTTCCTGGTGGATGAATCCTCGAGTATCGGCCAGAGCAACTTCAATAAAGTGAAGGATTTCCTCTTCCGGATCGTCTCCTATTTCCCCAAGATTGGGCCTGAAGGGACACAGGCAAGATTTTGAAGTTTTTTTCCTGGAGCAGAGTCTGCTCACCCAGGAGTTGTGGAGCAGAAAGGCCAGGGAAAGACCTACATGGAACAAAAGGACAGGAATTCAAGTCTCCTGTGTCAGCTTTCCCATTTGGATAGATTTCCATTTCTTGGTTATTTTTCCAAGACTGAATCATCAGGACTAAAGCAAATTCCACACCTGAAGTGCTGTCTAGGTTAGCCCAGAGATCTCTTGGGTGCTTATTCCCCTCTCAGATCCCATTTCTGACCCCATCCAGAGTGGGGAATTGTTGGAAATCCAGAGTGGGGATGGTTGGAAATGCAGAATGGGAATGGTGGGAAATCTAGAGGGAGAATGGTTGGAAGTCCAGAGTGGGGGTGGTTGGAAGTCCATAGTGGAGAATAGTTGGAAATCCAGAGTGAGGACAGATGGGAATCCAGAGTGGGGATGGTTGGAAATCCAAGTGGGAATTGCAGGATATCCCAGCAGCTCCCTCCTCCAACAAACAGAGAACCGAAGCCCCGGGTTGTGATGGGAATCACCTCCATGACAAATGAAGCCTGAAGGATTTAATGACAGCAAAGCCAATGGGAAGACTCAGCCCCTCATTTATTTGGGGTCATTTATTTAATTTAAATTAGAAAGGGAGAGTTATGGAGCGCGGTTTAAGTTGGGCAGGAAATGGGAATTTCTTGGACTCTGCTTGGAGGTGAATGATGAAGTTACCCTGGGTCAACAAATAACTCTGGGAACATAAAAAATTTTGATTTAGGTGAGGATCAGACTCCCTTTTCCCATAGAATTCAACCTCCTCCCATTCCTGGTGCACCACACTCTGACTCGAGGCAGTCTGTCCTGCTTCCTGTGGATTTGGGGATTTTAATCCCTGTTTTTGGCAGGTTGCTGTTGCTCAGTACAGCGAGGAGCCCAGGGCAGCTTTTCATTTCAACCAACACCGCGACCGCAACGGAGCCCTCGGAGCCATCAGAGGGCTGAGCTACACCGGCGGCAACACCAAAACAGGTCTGGGAGGGGACTTGGACACCTGGGATGATCCTTCTGGCCCAGGACAGAACCTGGAAGCCAAAGAAAATATTTCTAAATATTTCTCTGAGTGGTTTGGAGCCATTTCCTTGGTGGGAGCATTGTGCTCAAAGTCATTTTAAATTTGAGAACGGATTAAATTGGATTTTCAGGAGTGGTTTTTCCAGCCACTTGGTGCTTTATCCATGTCCTGGTTTTTCCCCTGGGTTTCTCTCATTATTTTATTATTTTGCCTGCACTTGAGGGTGGTTTTTACACCATAGACATGAGGATGGCTGATTTGAAGCATTCCTGCATCCCTGAAATCCAGATATTTTGTCTCATTTAAAAAGCTCAGAGAGGGATGACACTTTCCGTGTGCTCATTCCCAGCAGGACACTGGGAATACCTGGTTCCCTGAAGAAACACAACTAGGAATGGTAAATTAAAGATGGTTAATTTTTATTTAATTGTTTAGCCCAGTTGGTTGGAAGCTGGTGCCAGTAACTCCAAGATTTGATCCCCCTATGGACCATTCAATAATTGGACTCGATGATCCTTGTGGATCCTTTCCAACTTGGAATATTCTGTAGTTTTGTGATTTTTCAATGAATTCTTCACATTTGAAGCATCCAAATCCCTCATCCTGCCTCAGTGGTATTGGACAAGGGTACAAAAAACCAGGAAAAGTCAAAATATAGGAATTTTCATGGGATTGCTTAGGGAAAGAAGGCATGGAATTGATCAGGCTGGAAATTCCTGGCTAACTTTGCCTTTTTAAACTCTTTTTATGGAGTTTGTGTCAAGGACATTTTACTCCAAGTAGAAATCTTTCCATAGTGTTTTGGAGCTTCTTGATCACTTCAATCTGTAGGAGATTCCTTTGTGGAACTTTCTTGGTCATTCCAAAGACATTTGGAAATAGGAATTCTGTGGATTTTATTCCAGAAGTGTAAGCAGAGTGCTTCAATTTTCTGAATATTTTGGCTCCCCTTTTCCAAAACTATCTGCTGATAGCACCAGAACCATTCCAGCCAAGGTGATTTCCTGCTGCTATCCTCCAAAAGATGTTGTCCCATGTCCAGGGCTTTCCACTTTCGAGGAGTTCCCTTCATCCTCCACCCATGGAAGGAGATCCAGATCCCAAACCTGTGGAATTAATCCAGACTCCCACCCTGTCTCTCCCTGTCTGCTCAGGCCGTGCCATATCCTACGTGCTAAAGGAATTATTCCAGCCCTCCAGAGGGATGAGACTGGATTTTCCTCACATCCTGGTGCTCGTGACCGATGGACAATCCCAGGATGACGTGGTGTCCCCAGCCAGAGCAGCCCATGCCTTGGGTAAGAGTTCCCAGTTGTGTTTCCCTCAGTTCTCCATGAATTTCCAGGGGTTTGAGGTTGTCCAGTTGGGTTCCCCATGGTTGTCCATGAATTTCCAGGAGATTGGTGTTGCCCTATTTTGTTTCCATGGTTCTCCATGAATTTCCAGAGGGTTGAGGCTACCTGGTTTGGTTTCCCTTGGTTCTCCATGAATTTTAAGGAGGTTGATGTTGCCCCATTTCTTTTCCATGGTTCTCCATGAATTTCCAGAGGGTTGACATTGCCCTGTTGTGTTTCCCTCCGTTCTCCATGAATTTCCAGAGGGTTGAGGTTGCCCCATTTTGTTTCCCTTGGTTCTCCATTAATTTCCAGGAGGCTGAGGTTGCCCTGTTTTGTTTCCATGGTTCTCCATGAATTTCCAGGGGGTTGAGGTTGCCCAGTTGTGTTTCCCTCAGTTCTCCATGAATTTCCAGAGGTTTGAGGTTGTCCCATTGTGTTTCCCTTGGTTCTCCATTAATTTCCAGGATGCTGAGGGTGGTGCCTTGTGTGAGGAGTCACTTTGAGGGCACTGTTGGTTCCTCCCCTCCTTTATCCTTTCTCTTTTCTCTCCCCACCTCGTCTTGGTTTGCTGTAACGCACACCCAGTTCTCTGTGGGCTCCACCTGATCCCACCAGAGGTTTTTACCAGGAAGGGGTTTGGAAACTCTGATCCCAGGGATGAGGAGTGGTGGGATCCATGTCATTCCAGGGCTCCGTGTCATTGCTGTGGGGGTGTCAGGAGCTGACCCCATGGAGCTCCACAGGATCTTGCTTCAGCAGAACCCCCAGAACGTTTTCTACGTCAGCACCTTTGATGACTTCTCCCAAATCCTCCAAGAGCTGATAGAAGCCATTTGTTCTGATCCTCAGCTTCCAGGAACCCAAATCCCACCAGAAAAGGTGAGTTCCTACTCCTGGCAGTAAATCCTGCTTGGAGTGGGTCAGGCACAAGGAAAATCTTCCCTGAGGGAAGTTTCAGAGCAGAATCAGAGTGGATTTAGGACACCAGGTCCCATCCTGATCTCACTGTCCAGCCCTGAACAAAAAAACCTTTGAAATCCAGGGAGTGGAACTGGGAAAGTCAGGATAGAGCTGGGAATGTTTTGGTGGATAAAGCCACTGCAGAACACTTATATATATTAAAAATTCACATTATAAATTCATATGAATAGACTTTAAATGGCTGAGAATTCTCCAGGGTGGTCAGCTTTGCTTTTCCCTATTTTTTTGCCTAAGCCAAGGAATGTTTTATTCTGTGTTTCCTGGTCACTCCCATTTATTTGCCATCCTTTGGTTGGCAAATAAACTAAATAAATAATTTAAATAAAATAAATTAATTCCCTGATAATTTTTTTTTTTTCTCTTTTCCATTGAAGAGATCCAGGGGCTCAGCTGCTCACAGGGGTTATGACCCCCACACTACGAAGGGAGAGAAAGGGGAACGGGTGAGTCACGGAATATTCTCAGCTGGAAGGGACCCACATGGATCATCGAGTCCAGCTCCTAAGGGAATGGCCCCACAGCATGATCCACTTGGATAATTAATATAGTGGAATCATGGAATGGTTTGGATTGGAAGGGACTTGAAAAATCATCCAGTTCCAACCTCGACACATTCTACTCTCGCAGATTACTCTGTCCAGCCCTGGCCTTGGACACTTCCAGGGGTGGGACAGCCACAGCTTCTCTGAGAATTCCATTCCAGGGCCTCCCCACCCTCCCAGCCAGGAATTCCTTCCAATATCCCATCCATCCCTGCCCTCTGGCAGTAAATACAACCAAATCATGACCAAGGAAGAGTTCAAGCAAAGAATGACCCTCAGATCTTTTCTGTTGGTGTTCTGCTCTTCCTGCTCCATGCTGGCTTTGAAAATCCAGAGAAAGGGACCTGCTCTGGAATTTGGGAATGCTCTCAAGTGTTAGGGTGCTGCCTGAAGCTATTTGAGTTTGCAGGTGTGAGGTCATCCCCCCCACGCTGTTCTTTTCCATGTTTTTAGGGTCTCCCTGGGAAGGACGGCATTCCTGGGTTGCCGGGCAGGCCGGGCCGGCCGGGTCCTCCAGGTCCCCCTGGAATCATGGTATGGATTGGTTCTAACAAACTTTTCCAAAGGGCCATTCCAGAGAAAAGTGACCAGTATCCCTCTGTCCTGTTTTGCAGGGGCTTCCTGGCAGCCAAGGTGACGTTGTGAGTATTCGGAATCCCGGGTTGGTTTGGGTTGGAAGGGACCTTAAAACTCATCCCATTCCATGGGCATGACACCTCCCACTATCCCAGGGTGCTCCAAGCCCTGTCCAACCTGGCCTTGGACACTTCCAGGGATCAGCACCCGTGGTCTTGGAGCTGTTTTTCTGTTTAACACTGCAGAATTTATTTTTAATTCCAGGGATCTCCGGGCTATCCAGGACCCGCAGGGCCGAAAGGAGACAGAGTGAGTTCCATTGCTGCATTTCACTGGGAAAAATTCATTTCTTTGTTGTGACCTCTCTTTTCCACTGGGATCTTTGGCTAATGTGAATTTTTAAGTTGTGTCTACCTAATCCTACACTGCCAGATTTTGTCTTGGGGAGTTTCCCTCAGGAATTTTATGTCTTTATGGAGAAAAGTGCTCAATCCTAATCCCAGGTTCTGGGCACAATTAATTAGTTAATTAATTGCAGGAGAAGGTGGGGTCATTCTGCCTTTCTGAGTTTCCATTATTAACAAACCTGGTTTAATCCATTTACGACACTAAAATATTCCAATATTTTCTGGGGGCAGATCCCAGGAAGAGCTTCCTGCCCTTCTCCCAGTCCCCATTCCTCCTCTTTCCTTGCATCCCCCTGAGCTGTCTGTGCAGATGAAGATTGGGAATGGATCCTGCTGAAAGCCAACTTCCATTTTTACCTTGGGATTAATTTTTCTTCCATGCCAGCAAACAAAACTCAGGTCATGACCATGTAGTTTTGGGTACCAGGTGCTTTGGGTTGATGGAATTGCCCCTAAATCACCCAATCTGCTCCTGGATCTCCCAAGGTGCCTTTATCCACAGGGAGATCCAGGCTATGTCCTGGGAGGAGTGGAGGTGATTCCTGGCCGGAATGGGCAGCCTGGCCCCCCTGTGAGTACCAAACCCCAGGTGTGGGGGAGCCTTCAGCTTCCCAAGGGCTGGGAGAGATTCCAAATCCTTCCCTCTCCTGTTTTTCCTGGTTGCAGGGACAGAAGGGGCAGCCGGGGGTTCCTGGGGTTCCAGGGCCACCAGGTTCTCCAGGGCCACCAGGAATCTCCATCAAGGTGAGTTTGGAGCACAATCCTGGGATGTTCCCCTGATGCCTTTTGAAGCCTGAGCTAGGACAGAGGCTGGGCAGAGTTATATCTGGGATGTTCCCCTGATGCCTTGTGAAGGCTGAGCTAGGACAGAGGCTGGGCAGAGTTATAGAATAAAGCAGGGATGGATTGAAAGGATCTCCTCCATGGATGCACCTTGGGCAGCACAAGAGCCCAGCCAGGGCTGCCCCCAAGATGAACCCAAATGGCCCCAAAATGCACGAGCGCTCCCGGGGTCTCTCCCTGGGATCAGCTCTGCTCCATGTGCACATTGCAGTTCAGTGTCCAATTCCAGCTCAGCCCCTGCACTCCCATCCTCCTTGTTTTTCTCTCTCCAGCCCAGGGGGTTTGTGCTCCTGGGCTGAGATTTGGATCATTTGTCCTTGGTGCCCAGCTGGAGCAGGAATTGTTTTGTCTCCCTGCTCTGTGCACAGAGCTCACCATCCCATAATATGAAGCCCAGACCCACACACTAAAGCAGCACAGAAGGTGAAAATAGAAAAGCTAAGACCTGAGTTATCAGCACTGGAAAAGGAGACCCGACACTGAATATTGCAGGTGGAGGTGTCTGGAGACCTCTCCTAAATCTCTCCCTGTGGAAGTGGGAATTTTGTTCTCTTGGATTGTCAGACTGCAGGATTTTTTTTTTCTGGGATGAAATTTAGTGATGAGCCCCTAAATGCCTTTCCCATGGGAATTCCCTTTGTCTTTTCTGTTTCAGGGTGAGCCAGGGGATTCAGGAATCAGGGTGAGTACCTGAGGTCAGCTTTCGCTTTGGAATGAAAAGGCTTTTTTCCAAAATTATTTCCAAGCTGCCCAGGAAGTTCTGGCTTCCAAACTTCCCAAAATTCCATGGAGATCCATGAAAGGATCATGGAGTGAGACTTTCCTGTGCTTCGTGCAGGGTCCCCGTGGGAGGAGTGGCCTCAAAGGTGACAGAGGAGACACGGGAGAGCCGGTGAGTGTCCCAGGAAATGAGGGAAAAACTGGGGCAGGTCCAGAGGAGGGGAAAATGTGGATCAAGAGCAAATGGCCCGAACTGGGAGCAGATCCAAAACAGGGAAAGGGTGGTTCTTCCCAGAAATCATCCCACAAGGAGGTTTGGGGTGTGGGAAGTTTGAGTTCAAAGGAAGATATGAGAAGAGTTCCATGGAGAATTACTGGGAATAAGACACCAGGATTGGTTTGGGAAATTCCTGTGTTACAAATGGCTCGATCTGAAGGGTAACATCCATGTGCTGTTCTTCCATCCTTCCTGGATCTGGTTTTGGTTGGTTTTACCATATTGGAGAGCCATATCCCATAAATCAGCCTTTTCCAAGGGTCTGGATTCACCATTCCAGACCAACATGGGCTCCCAGCCTCTGTCTCCCATTGTTTTCCCTTCCTGAGTAAATCCAGGGATTCATAACTTATTTGTGAGGGAAAAGGAAATTTGGGAATGCACAGACAGCTCTGTAATTCCTCACTTTTAAAGGAACTGCTCAGATGAACAGATCAGGATAAATATTTCTCTGCAAAATTAAAAATAAACCTTTCCAGTTTGGAGGGAAAAAAAAAGAGATTGGATGATGTTCCTTCCTTCCTTTCCAGGGAAAACCTGGTTTGCCAGGCCCTGTGGGGCTCCATGGGGCTCCTGGACTGCCTGGACCACAAGGAGAAAAGGTTGGATATTTTCTGAATCCCTCAGCCCAGGGGGAAAATGACAGGAATAGCAGGATAGACCTGTGGGAAGGCGTTTTGGGATGTCCCAACATTCCCGGAATTTACTGGCTCTGCTCAGAGCCGAACATTTCCAGTGGAAATTTCTCCCCTCCTGTTTTGCTAAGAAAGACTCCGGAGCAGAAATCTGGGAAGGATGGGTGATCTGGGATCAGCATTCCTGAGGATTCTGTGCTTTCCTTGCAGGGAATGGCAGGAATTGGCATTCCTGGCACTGCTGGCATGAAGGGGGAAGAAGGAGAGCAGGTGGGTTGGGAACCTTGCAGTGAGATTTGCATTAAAATCCTCTCAGAGTGTTCAGTGTCCCCAAAGTCTCCTCCAATATTTAAGTTTTCCTTGGAATCCCGTGGTTCCACATGGAAAAGGTGAGAAAATGGAAGATTTGGGGTTTAAAATCAGAGCTTTCACTGTTTCCTCTGTTGTTTTCAGGGAATGATGGGACCTCCAGGAGCACCAGGACCAAAGGTGGGTGCTGAAATCCTGAACCCGAGTTCCCAGGCCTGGAATTCAGGTTCCAAGGGAGTTTTCTGCCCCTAATCAGCATCATAAGGAATCATCATCATAATTCCTGGGGGAATCATTGGATCATGGAGTGGTTTGGGTTGGAAGTGACCTTCCAAGGTCCAAACCCTCTGGACTGAGCAGGGACGTCTTCAACCACAGCAGCCTGACCTGGAGCCTTCCAGGCTCAAAAGCAAAGAGAGGGAATAATTTTCCACTCCCTGGACTCTGGGATTCCTTGCTGCCAAGGAGAGGCCTGGAATGGCAGCAAGGTGGGATATTTTCAATAATAAATGTCACTTTTGTGGCCAAGGAGACTCCAGAGTCCCAGGCTGGAAGAGCTGTCCTGCAATTAATGGAAAATTGGGTTGAAGAGCTTCATCCTTCCCTCCCTCCCTCTGGATGGCAGAAGGAGCCAAAAATGTTGGATCTGTTTTCACTCTGGTGGAAATGCCCTTCTGATTTCTTCCAGGGAATTCCAGGACCTCCAGGGCAGAAGGGAGACCAAGTAAGTAGAGCAGTAAGAGAATATTTGATCAGCTCAGGTGCAATTATCCTAATTTTTCCCAGCTTGTTCCCTGTGGGATCCAGCAGGGATATCCTTGAGCTCAGTTCTCCCCTCTCCTTGGCTCTTAGGCTTCTGAGATGACTTTTGGGCACTTTTAAGGAACAAATGGTGGGAAAGGGATGAGCAAAAAGTTTTCCCTGCCTCACATTTTTCATTCCATTGGCCACCATTCCTTCCTTTTGCCTTGCAGGGAAATCCAGGATTTCCAGGTGCTCCAGCCTTGGAGGTAACTTGGAGTGGTTTGGAGCCCTTGTTGTCCTTCAGCTGTACAGCTTCAATCCCAAAATGCCAGGATTCCAAGAGCTGTGTCCCACAGAACCGTGGGAAGAACACTCAGACCTTTTCCCTGACCCTCCTGCCAGATTTGTCCTCCTCTCCCTTGCTCCACTTCCTGTATTCCCAATATTCCCATTGTTCCCTCAAAGGAGCTTCACTGCTCTCCAGGAAACATAAGGATGAAAATTCCCAGCGCTGAATCCGTGTGCTCCAGGCCTGTCCCTGCCCAAGCTCTTCATCCACAGGGATGAGCCCTGCTGGACACCCACAGCTCTCCATGTCCCCCAAAATTCCAGCTTTAAGGAGAAACCTCCATGGTGGCCACCTCTGTGTGCCATAAGATTTCTTATCCCATAACAATTCTTTTCCCATAACATTCCTTGTTTTGGAAAAGGTACCATGAAAAGGAGATTTGAAAATTAAATTAAATTAAATTTTTTTAACAGAGGCTTTCTGTGATTTCTTCTCCTCAGATTTCGGGACCTCCAGGAAAGAAAGGTGTCAGGGTAAGGTGGTTAATTAATTATTTTATTTAATTAATTAAATTTATTAGCACTACTTGAGAAGGCAACATCTCTGGAAAAGCAGAGGTTGTTCCATGTTTCCTGGATTCCATCCCCCTTGTGATTGACAGGAGATGAGAGCTTGGAAAAGTCTTGTCTTGGGGATATTTGTCTTGCTTTTATTCAATTTTGTACCTGGTATTCCCATTCTAGCCTTAGTCCAGGGGAAAATTTGGGATTTCAGAAGGGAGACATCACCCAAGTGCAGATTCCAGCCCAATCCCAGAAGCTACTTCCAGCTGTTCCCTGGCTGAATTTTCCATATTTTCCAGCTTTAGAGAATTCCAATCGCTTTCTCAGTGGCTTTGAGGTGGAACACGACCGGAAATATTTTAAATTGAATTTTTGAACTTTTTTTTTTTTTCAGTCTTGCTCTCTCATTGCCATCCTCCCAAGAACCTTGCAGGACTGATTCCCCATGGCTTTTCCATGGAAATTCCCTACAGTGCTTCAGACCTCTCTCATTCCATAGACACAATGAATTTTGACTTTTTTTGCTGGGATTTGCTGTTGGAATCACCTCCTTTTATTGGACCTGTTACCTAGACTGCTTAACCTTGTCTGGCAAAAATCCTTCTTTTCTTTTAGGCTGAGCTTAAGTGGTGTCCTAGGAATTTTAATGTGGCCTTGTGATGGAATGTGGCCTGGAATATCAGAAATTTTTTTAAATTATTTGTGATATTTCACTGACAACCTGCAGAGAAATGACAAGTGTTCATTTTATTCCTACTTTAAACATGTAAAAATGTGTTTACGGTGCCACGTAGTGTGGCAACAACTGTGATGAATTTTGGATGGCAGAAGGCAGGTGCCATGGAAAAAAATCCTTAAAAATCCAGGATGGATGGGTGGATTTGGCAAAGGAATTTTTTCCAGGATGCATTTGAAGTGCAAAATGCAGCCCTGAGGAGTCACAAGAACGGGGCTTGGCTTCCTGAAGAATATTCCTGGTTTCAGGGGTGTCTTTTATTCCCAGGGAGATCCCGGACCAGCTGGACCACAAGGAGACAAAGGAATCCCGGGAGAAAAAGGGGAGAAGGTGATGACCTTGCACTTCCTGCAGTGATAAAAGGATTTATTTTGTTTGTGGCCACCAAGAAAACTCTGAGGGAGATGGAATTCCTCCCCAAGGAATCTAGGGGAAGACTTCCATGTGTAGAAATCCAAAGCTCCTGGAAAAGAAATCATGGAGGGAGTAAATGCTGAGCTCCTTGGTTGTCCATGGGGATGGAAATATCTTGGATCTGCTCTGGCTTTTCTTGCTCTGTGGAGATTTGTCCTGAGCTTGGAAAAGCTGCCTTGGCAAGACCCTGAATCCCTTTGTTTTTTCAGGGAAGTCCAGGATTTGGAATTCCTGGCCAGCCTGGGCTAAAGGGAGACATCGGTGACAGGGTGAGTGGGACACTGGGGTGGGTGTGGAATGGGAAGGGCCCGGGGGACAAACCAGGAGGTTTAGGGACAAAATCTCCATCACTTCCGTGGATTTGTTGGCCCTGAGGAGATGAACACTGGGGAGGTGACAAGGAGCCAGGCTGGTGACGCTGTGGAGGTCTGGGGTGACGGGGTCATGAGCTCTGTCCTCAGGTCAGGTGCAAAGGTGGGATCCCCCAAAATGTGGGGAATTCCTTGTGACTGGAGGAAAACACGGATGGTCAATGCTCAGCTGGTGACTGTGGACAGAATCCAAGGAAGTCCCATTTCCAATTATTTCCCCTCCTGAAAGTCACCTGGATCTTCAACTTCCTGACTTTTGTGTCTAGGAAGGCTTTGGTGGCTCCCATATGACTCCAGTGATGTCCAGGAAGTGTTGGGTTAATCCTTGCTGTCCCCTTCTCCAGGGACATCACAGTCCCGTTCATTTTAATCCAGCAAAAATTGGCAAATCCCAATATTATGGATGAGTATCTTTGAAAGAGGAGTGGGAAGCTCAAAATCTTGATGGTTTCAAAGTGGGGGACACAGGAGACATGTCTGGACAGGGTGTACTGGGCACAGTGTCCCACAGTCTCTCGTGAGACATTCCCTGTTATCCCCTTCTCTGATTTTACCTGGAATTATCTTACCTGTGTCATTCCTTCTGTGTTTCTGCAGGGAAATGTGGGATTGTCTGGGAAGCCAGGTCAGAAGGTGAGTCCATGGAAAGCTTTGTTCCCTGGCAGGGTGGGGAGGCCCTGGCACAGAATTCCCAGAGCAGCTGGGGCTGCCCCTGGATCCCTGGAAGTGTCCAAGGTGGACATTGGGGCTTGGGATAGTGGAAGGTGTCCCTGCCCATGGATGGGGGTGGAACCAAGTGGTCTTAGAGGTTCCTTCCAACATCTTTGATTAGGCCTTAAAAAACTCCTGCTAATCCTCACCTGCAGGATTTTTCCCAGGAAAAGTTCAAAATCAGTCAAGAAATTTCTGGAAAAGATCCCACCCATGGAATTTGTTCAGTGAGTGTCTCACTGTGGGCATTCCTCAAGCAGGGATCTCCCCAGACTTGGCTGGAAGAGGGTTTGGGTTTGGGAATTGTTCCATAGATCTGTGAATGGAATGTTTAGACCAGATCAGCTTCCAGGGCATGGAAAAATGGGAGACAAAATGGGTCACAACATGGGATGCAGGCAAGCCAGGAGGTGTTAATGAGATGTGTTAATGAGATGGCAAAGTGGAGGCAAGGAAAGGGGTTTGGGTTGGGAGAAGGCCTGCCTGGAGAGGTGGTGTCACAGATTTCCCAGATTTCATGGAATATTCTTGTCTGGGAGAGACCCACAAGGATCATCCAATCCAGATCTTAAGGAAATGGGATCAAATCCATGACCTTGTGGGACAAACATCAAACAGAGCAGATGAGGACCCATCCATGAGAGCTCAGCTGATTTAAATGGGAATAAAAATTAAAACATGGAATGGGAACTGATCCTGTGTCCTAGACTGGGTCCATCTCAAGTCTCTGCTAATCTGAGCTGCTCCTGGAGATGGAGAACCTCAGCAGATTCTGTCCTGAGTGAATTCCAGGGGTGACTCTGGAGTCTGGATAGATGAGGTTAGAGCTGGCAGCTTTCCAGGCTGATAATCCTACAAAAATAATAATAATGCTATAATTAAGTAAATTGAAATGCCATAAACATATATTATTAAATAAATCAAAATAAAATAAATATTAATAGTACAAATCCTACAATCCCCAGCCCTTCCTAGCACAGGGTAAATCCTCTGAGTCCAAACTTCATCCAGGATTGTGGAAGCAGCTCCATGACCATGGATGTGCTGCTGGAATCTGCCCCTCAATGCCTGAAGTGGGAGGGCTGTGGAATGCAGGACAGGAATGTGACAAGTCTTGTTTCCTTTAGGGGGAGAGAGGTGAACCAGGATTCCCTGGAAAACCAGGAGAGGCCGGGCTGAGAGGAAAAGATGTGAGTAAAGGCAGGATCCAGGGGGATGGAGCTGCTGATCCCTCGGGACCAACCAACAACCCCAGCTCTGCCCTGAAATGACGAACAAGGGATGACTTTTCTTCCTTATTATTCAACATCAGTGCCCAGAGCAGCTGTGGCTGCCCCTGCATCCCTGGAATGCCCAAGGCCAGGCTGGACACTGGGGCTGGAGCAGCCTGGGACGGTGGGAGGTGCCCCTGCCATGGCAGGGTGGCACTGGATGGGCTTTGAGGTCCCTTCCAACCCAAACCATTCTGGGATTCTTTGATCAGGATTTTTGTCACTGAGTCACATCTGCTTGATGTGGATTTAGCTCGAGGTGCAGCCACACCAGCCCCGAGGGGTCACTTCTGGTTCTGAGCCTCAGGTGATCTCAGCTTGGAAAGGATCCATAAAAATCATGGAGCCCAGGCCCCTGCTCCCCACAGAACTGCCCAAATATTTCCCTTTTATGGCCAAACAAGGTGGGTCCTCATGAAAACATCAGAACAGGCTTCTAGAAATTTCTCCTGACCCCAGTGAAGAGCTTTCCTCAGCTCTGAGGGCTGGGTTGATCCCTGGAGGTGCAATAGGAACCCTATTAAGAGTTCCCTCTTGGGATCAAATGAGGTGGCCCCTCACAAAATCAAGGTGGCCCCTCACAAAATCAAGGTGTGCCCTCACAAAATCAAGGTGTGCCCTCACAAAATCAAGGTGGCCCCTCACAAAAACAGGATGGGCCCTCACAAAAACAAAACAAGATGGGCCCTCAGAAAAACAAGGTGGGCCCTCACAAAATCAAGATGGCCCCTCACAAAATCAAGGTGGCTCCTCACAAAATCAAGGTGTGCCCTCACAAAATCAAGGTGGCTCCTCACAAAATCAAGGTGTGCCCTCACAAAATCAAGGTGGCCCCTCACAAAAAACAAGGTGGCCCCTCACAAAAACAAAGTGGCCCCTCACGAAAAACAAGGTGGGCCCTCACAAAATCAAGATGGCCCCTCACAAAATCAAGATGGGCCTTTACAAAACCAAGGTGATCCCTCACAAAAGAAGATGGCCACTCACAAAAAAACAAGGTGGCCCTTCACAAAAAAAGGTGGGCCCTCACAAAAGAAGATGGCCCCGCACAAAAACAAGACGGCTTCTCTCAAAAACATCCTCACTGTTTTCTGGAAAACTGGATTTTTATGCATTGAGCTTGATGTCACATGATCTGGAATATCCCCGTGGTCAGTTTGAAATATCCCTGTGGTCATTTTGGAACATTTCTGTGGTTAATTTGGAATGTCCCCGTGGTCGGTTTGGAATATTTCTGTGGTCAGTTTGGGTCACCTGTCCTGCCTCTGTCTCCTCCCAACCTCCCATGAATTCCCAACTTTGCTCCTGGAAGACCTCTGCTGACCACAGTCAGTGAAGAGTTTTGTGCAGCTCCAAGGGTTGGGTTGATCCCTGGAGGTCAAGTGGAATAGGATCACCCAGGGAAATCTTGGAGAAAAAAAGGAAGCAGCTGCATTCCAACAGCCCTGACTTCGGAGTCGTGATTCCAGAACAAGAACTCAGAATTTGAGTAGAAAATGATGGTAAAAAACTTGGGGAAACCCAGCACTTTTGCATTGTAGGCAGGAAAGGCTCCTTTGGGACCATGGTAATCCCACCCTTCCCAAGGTGCCAGGAAAACAGCAGCTGGAAAATGAAACCCTTGGATTTGTCCTGAAGTTGATCCCTGCTCATTTTATTTCCTGTTTATTTGTCCTTTAATGAGGATGTGGAGAATCCTCTTCACCTTTCTTTTATCTTGGATTTCACATCCCAAAAGGCTGGAACGGAAAAGCCAAAAAAAGAACTAAACTGGTTTTTTGGGGTTTTTTTTGGGTTTTTTTTTTTTTTTTTTTTTTTTTTTTTTTTTTTGGTTTTTTTTGGGTTTTTTTTTTTTTTTTTTTTTTTGGTTTGTTTTTGGGGTTTTTTGGGTTTTTTTGGTTTTTTTGGGTTTTTTTTGGGTTTTTTGGCTTTGTTTTTGGGGTTTTTTTGTTTGTTTGTTTGTTTGTTTGTTTTCTGGGAGATGCTGAAAACAGAGTGCCATGAATGAAATCCCAGAATATCCTGAGCTGGAAGGGACCCACCAGGATCACCCAGTCCAACCCCTGGCTCTGCACAGGACACTCCAACAATCCCACCCTGTCCCCGAGATCATTATCCAGACATTCCTGGAGCTCAGAACAGTGGGATTTGGTGGCAATCACCTCATCCTACCCCTAAATTTAAATATTCCAGTCACCCCACACCTTGTGCCCCTTTTTCCTCATTTATGGGAATGCTGTAAAACACCATCCCTAGTTTAAGACATCCCAGATATCCCAAAACCTTCCTCTATCCTAGTTTTCCAAGCATTAAGCAGGGCTAAAGAGATTTAACCTCAATTAGAGCCCCTGGAATGTTTGATGGCCTCGATTCTCTCCCTTTAAACCATTTCCTCCAGGTTTAAGTGCAATAAAATCCCTGCCACTTGCTGGAAAAACATTTGGAAAGCTGCTCCTCTCTTTTAGGGAGAAGCTGGAGTCCCTGGAGAGCCAGGAGTGAGAGGAATCAGGGTAATAACTCCTATATTATATTATATTATATTATATTATATTATATTATATTATATTATATTATATTATATTATATTAATTTTCCTGCCCTGGAGAGTGGTGGGGCTGCTCTGTTTCCCTTCCCCATCCCAAGGGTAGCCCTCACTTGGAAATATCCACTTCCAAATATTCCTTTCCTGTGAGAAAAATAACATTTTCCTTGCTATTTTCCTTTTCTGAACTGCTGCTCGGGCTCTGTTTGGGATTTTTTTTGCCTCAATCTCTTCTTGCAGGGTCCTCCTGGACTCCCAGGACGAGCTGGAGAGCAAGGAATGAAAGGAGATCCAGGAGAACCTGGAAAGGATGTAAGGAATCCCTGAAGGAGCAACTGGGAGAGGGTGGATTTTGGGAGAGCTTTTATTTATTCCTAGCATCATCAATAAATAATATTTATTTCTTTGGACTGGGGTTGGATAGATCCAGCAGAGATGGATTCACTCCATCCTTTTTTCATCCCTGTGGTAAAAAAAAAATCAGGGAAAATATTACCAAGTTTCTCATGACTTTACCTAAATCCTTTTTGGAAGATTCCCAAAAATATCAAAGCAGCTCCTCCCGCTCTCCCATGCTTTTCCCTGTGGCCATTTCAACAAGAATTGGGAGTTTAAATTTGTAATTTAATTATTTAATTTACTTTATTATTCAATTTAGTTTAATCAATTTATTCTATCAAATTATTTAACTTATTATATTTAATTATTTTATTTATTTTAATTTTTAAAATAATTTTATTTATTTTGAATTTTATTTATTCCTGCTGTTTATTTTGTGGGGACAGGGAAGGACACGAGGCAGAGCAGCCACAGCAGCAATTCCCAAGAAATTTTGCTGTGCTGGGAGGAAAAACTCATTCCCAGAGGTCCAAAGAGTGTCTTTGGATGGATCCTTTGCAGCCATTCCTGCCAAATTCTTGATTTTCCTGCAGGACTCGTGTCCTGAGTCACAGGAAAAGTGGGATTGGGAGAAAAGCTGCAGGAAATATCCCCATGGAGCCAAAACAGATCCAACCCCAGGCTTTCCCAAAGAAATGGTGTTGCTTCCTCAGCCGAGATGTGATGGCAGGGAAATAAAAGCAAAATTTGGGTTGCACGAGAGGTAATTCCATTATTCCTGGTGGGATAGCAAAGGAAAAGCAGGAAAATTCCCAGGAACACGAGCCCTTCTTGAGGTCAAACTTCAAGTGAAGAGCAGAATTGCTCCAAATTTAACCTTAAAACAGGAAATTAGGGAGACACAAGAAGGGGTTGGTTGGTCCCTCTGGAAAAGGTGGCAGTAGTTTGGGATCAGCACCCAGGAAATGGGAATTTCAGAGGGGAACTAACACATTCCTGCTGGTTTTCAGGGAATTGCTCCAAATTTAACCTAAAAACGGGAATTAGGAAGACACAAGAAGGCATTGGTTGGTCCCTCTGGAAAAGGTGGCGTTAGTTTGGGATCAGCACCCAGGAAATGTGAATTTTAGAGGGGAACTAATGCATTCCTGCTGGTTTTCAGGGAGATCCGGGGAAGGACGGCCTGAGAGGTGAAAGAGGCCCCCCAGGCCCAAAGGTAGGTCCTGAGTCCACGTTTTTGTGGTGGTGCCACCACCTCGGGCAGGTCAGAGGGGAGGAAAACCAGCTCAGGTCTCCTCTGACCCCCCAAAAGTTTGGGATTTCAAAGCAGAGCTCCTGGGATGGGCTCAGGAACTCGTGGTCCCTCCGGGGCCGTGGTCCCACGTCTCCAAAGAGCTTCTTTGGGAAGAAAAAAGTTCTTGAGGAGTCGAAGAGGATAAATTTCTGGAATGTTCACAGATTGTTCCTTCCTTTCCTGCTCCTGCAAGTTGAAGAGCACATGGAAAGGGGTGGAAGGAGGAATGGCTTCTGGTCCCACACATCCAAGGTCTTTAGAGATGGGAACAGCTCCTTCTTTAATGGAAGGAGGAAAATGCTGCAGGAAGCAGAACCAGTGGGGACAGGGAGATTTCCTGGTTGCCACAAGGTCCAGACCTTTGGAAAAGCAAAGATTTATCCAGGGAAGAGGCATCCCAAGTTCTCCCTGGCACACCTTGGCTGGAGATGCCCTCAGGGCCTTCCTGGTGCCCTTCATTCCACCGGAATCTGTCGATGCAGAACCCGGATTTCAGTGAAATGAAGCCCCTCAGAGAGGCAGGTCAGCCCCACCTCAGCTGATGTTCCTCACCCCAGGAGACTCCAGGCTGGACCTTCCCAACCCCTGCAGCTCATCTGTGATTTCATCCCTGCACGATCCAAGGTCTCTCACCTGGAGATGGAATTCCATCACCGTGACCTGTGGGAGCCCATCCTGCTGGAGATGTTGGACCCAGCCACATGTGGTGGCCACCAGCACCATGGCCACCTCCAGAAGGGGCCACCAACCATGGGGACACCTTCCTACCTTGGTGTCCTCTGCACTGGTGGCACCGAGGGACCTCCACAATCTTTCCTTTCCCCCACGTTTGTGGCCAAGAGGTGGAGAAGGGGATGGAGCAAAGCCCAAACCTCACTTGGATGCTGCTCATGGGCCAGGCTGTCCCTCCAAAATCCAGCTGTGCCTGTGTCCAGTGGAGGAGGGAAGGAGCAGGGTGGGATTCAAACCCCTAAATGGGATTTATCCGGGATTATGGAACGGGTTGGTGGCAGATGAAGGGCCAGATATGAGATTACCCCCCTTCCTCTTCTTGCTCCTCATGGAAATGACAGAATTAATGAGCTGATCTCGTTTATTCCAAGGGAGAACCTGGCCCACCAGGAAGAGGAGTGGAAATGAAGGTAAATAAATCAAAATTAAAGACCATATAAATGTTGGAAGCACCTCCCCTTCTGTCTGGGTTGGGATGGCAGAGGGGACCCAATGTGTGTCCCCTTGGCCATCAGCCACCTCCAGGAAAAACTTCCTGGAGAGCAGAGGGGGAGAGGTTGGGACTTTTCTCTCCCCTTGCAGGACCTGGAGAGGCTTTTTGAGGCGTACGGGATCAAGGTAGGAGATCCTTTGTCCTTCCTCCTGACCAGGGCTTGTAATTTGGCTTTTCCATCTCTTCCCTCTGGAATCCTGGAGGTGGCAGGATTTGCTCCCCCAGCAATCCCAGGAAGGTTCATTCTGTTTCCTTTCCCAGGTTATATTTAAATATTTCTGGGACAGATTTTTTGCTGCCATTTTAGATGGTGGCTTTGAGGTCCCGTATGACAGTGACACTTGGACCTTAAAGCCCCTCTAACTCCAACCTCAACACCTTCCACTATCTCAGGTTGTTCCAAACCCCATCCAGCCTGGCCTTGGGCACTTCCAGGGATGAGGCAGTCACAGCTTCTCTGGGAATTCCGTTTCAGCTCCTCCCCACTCTCCCAGCTGAAAATTCCTTCCCAGTATCCAACCTAAATCCTCATTCTGTTTAAAACCCTTCCGTCTTGTCATATCCCCACATTCCCATGGAAAGAGGGAATTTTTCCCTTTTTCTCCCTCTTCTTCAAGTCCCCTTAAAGTCTCGAAAGACCACAGACGTGGGGTTTTTTTTTAGGATGGGGACAGACCCCACAAAATCTCCATGGATCAGCTCCTTGATCCCAAACCTGTATTTAAACCATCCCTCGGCTGTCCCTGCCCTGTGAGCCCCTGGGAATGCATCATTCCATGTTTTGGGGTGGCTGCTCTTGGATTGTCACGTGCTGGGGACAGGAGGGTGGCCCTGGGCTGCCTCACTGGTGTGCACTGGTTCCAGCTGGCGCTGCTGAGGGACCTCTCCGACGCGATCCTGCGGGACGGGCTGGACGGGCTCCTGTGGCACCGGGGCGGCTCCAGGACGAGCAAAGCTTCCATGGAAAACCAGGCAGCCGTGCCTGGCACCGTGAGTCACGTCACCTGCCAGGGGTGGCAGAATTCCAGGGAATGAGGGAGATGGGAATGAGCCACCAAAGCCATCGGGGTCACCTCTGTCATCGAGCAGGTCATGGTGGCTTGGGACAGGCTGTGGCTGGCACCAGGATCTGGGATCTTTGGGATAAAAGAATGCAAAACACTCATTTTTTAATGGGAATGAAGGAATCAGTCATTGTTGTCCATAGGAGCCATTCCCAAAGCCACCAAAGTGTCCTTGTGCCCTCTGGGAGCTTTTTGGTGGGTGTGGGGCTGGAAGCACCAAAAGGGGTCATGAGTGGGGTCTCGACAGCAAAAGGAACCCCAGGGAGGGAGGAGGATTCCTTGGAAGGAAAATTTGGATGTGGCCAGCAAGGAATTGCTGCCCACTCGCCTCGTCCTGGCTCAGAAATGTCACCAAGTGGGATAGAATGTGCTGGAAGGTTGGGAAAGGTTGGGATGAAGCCACCAGGACCCTCACCGGTGTGACTCCTGGGGGCTCGGGGCTGTCACTGTCACATCAATCCCTTGTTTTGGTGTGGCAGGATCCGTCCAACACTTCCCACCTTGTCCCGGCTGGCACCGAGGTGACAGGAGAAGGACAGAGCCTGGAGCTGGAGGCTGCAGAGGTGCCACTGTCTGGAGGATTCCCTGAGGTGAAACTAAACAGCAGGAAAGATGAAATTGGGGTTTTTACTGTGTCCAGTTCCGGGATCTTCCAATCATGGAGAGTGTCCAGGGAAGGGAATGGAGCTGGGAAGGGTCTGGAGAAGCAGGAGGGGCTGAGGGAGCTGGGAAGGGGCTGAGCCTGGAGCAAAGGAGGCTCAGGGGGCCCTTGTGGCTCTGCACAAGTCCCTGCCAGGAGGGGACAGCCGGGGGGGTCGGGCTGTGCTCCAGGGTACAGGGACAGGAGCAGAGGGAACGGCCTCAGCCTGGGCCAGGGGAGCTCAGGGTGGGCACCAACAGGAATTTCCCCATGGAAAGGGGGTCAGGCCTTGGCAGGGGATGCCCAGGAGCTTTGGAGTGCCCATCCCTGGAGGTGTCCACCTGGAGGTGGCACTCAGAGCTCTGGGCTGGGGACAAGGTGGGGTCAGTCACAACTTGGACTCCGTGGTCCTGGAATTCTTTTCTGTCCTGGCATCTGTGGAGCGTCTCCTGCCCTGGCAGGGATGGATCCAGTCCGGTTGTCAGGATGGATTGGGATTGTCCCTGCCAGACCTCCAGAAGCATTTGGACAACTCTCCCAGGGACAGGGCGGGACTGTTTGGGATGTCCTGGGACAGGATGATCCCTGTGGGTCACTTCCCACTCAGGACATTCCATGATTCTGTGACTCCAGAGCCCTCATTTGGAGTAACCAGACAGATTCCAGCCACCTGCATCCTGATTAACAGCTCCTGTTTATGGGAATCAGGAATTTATCCACAATTTAAAGGCTTCTCTCCGTGCTGGTCTTGCTGTAGGAGGCATCTCCTGGGGTTTTATCTCCCTCTGTGGCTGGATCAGGATGATCCAGTTCCTCAAAGACTTGGACAAGGTGGGACAGGACATTCCCTCTCAGCCCCAGGCTCCTCCCGTGTCCTCAGGTTCTTCCCAGATTTTTCCAAGCTGGATTAGGACATTTTAGGGGCTTGAGAGGGGAGGTTTGCCCAAGAGACACAGCCCTGGAGCCAGCAAAAGTTGGGATTTGGGACACAGAGACCCCAAAACTGTTGAGTTTTGGGAGCCCAACCCAAACCAGAAAAAAGGATTTGGGACCATCAGAGCATCCCTCACTCCCTCAGGGAAGGAATTCCCTCAGGGAATCCTTCCTTTTCCATTGGCACTGGTTGCAAAGGAGTTAAAATTCCCAGAGCATGGCTGGATAGATCACTGGAATGTTGAGGTTTGCCCCTTTTTTATTGCAATGGAAAAGGAAATTAGAGAAAGGATAAGGATTTCTGCATGGATCAGTGTCAGGGCTTGGGAAAGGCTCCTGCTGTCCATTTTTCTCCTTTTTTCCAGTAATTAATGGAATTTTTTTGGCGTTTATCCATCCCTCTCTGCAGAGCTTGACTGTGCCCCCACCACATCCAGGAGACCTGCAGGAAAACCATTCCCTGGATCTCCTCCAGCCCTTGGAGGAGAGGCTGGAAGGACAAGCCCAGCAGGACACCAGCCAGGTACGATTTTCCAAGGATTTCAGATGGACTGGGATGCAAACCTTAATCCTGGGGGTGGCTTCTCCATATCCCTGGAGAACACCAGAGTTCCTGGAATGGGCAGGAGGCTGATGGCAGTGACAAAAACCCCTTGGGAAATGTTTAATTCCACCACTTTGGGGGGAAAACCAGGATAATCCCATTTTATCTGATCCCATCTGGCCACACCATCCTTGAGTTATTCCAGCTTGGTTGACTGGAGAATTGATGGTTCCCAAGACTTGTAAAATAGGGATAATGCAGACTCCAAACAGGGAATTTAAAATACGCCTCCTACAAGACATTTCCTTCCCACTTTCCATGGATATAGAAATTCATGGATATGGTCTCAGGATATTCCATAGGAATATTCCTGTTGTGCTCTGGAGCATCCTCCTCATTTAAAGACGAGGGTTTTAGGAATTTGGAGATTTTCTCTGATTCCTAAAATATATTTTCCTGCCCTCCTGGGCAGAGATTCCCTTCCCAAATCCTGCTCCAAAACCAGCACTCTCCGATTTGGACATTGTTGTATCCCTATGGAATTCTTGGAAATACCCAGAGGCAGGACAGCACCAGCTTTAAAAAGCAAAGGGAAAAATCCCTGGGATATTTCCTTGGAGCTGCAGGAACAGCATCAGCAAGGATATTTTTAAGGATGGCAAGTGACTGGAAGTGGGGAGATCCTGCTCCAGGAAATCCCGCTCTGGTTTATCCAGTCTGCCGAGCTCTTCCTTCTGCTCCCTTCCCTTTATCCCTGTCCTGGCTCGGGAAATGAATTCCAGGGATAATCACGGAGCTGGAATCACCATAGCTCAGCAGCCACGAGAGGGCTCCCGGCTCCAAAGGAAAATCCTGGAGTGGGAACTGCGGCTCTGGAGAGCCGGGATGCGCCAAGGGCATCCGTGGGCTCTGCTTTCCCTCCTGGATGCAGCAATTCCCTCTCCTGGGAATGGTCAAGCTGGAGGAAAACAGAGGATGGAGCCCAAATCCATCGGTTTGGGAATGGTTTGGGTGGGATGGGATTTTAAGGATCATCCCATTCCATCCCTTCCACGGGCAGGGAATCTTCCACCATCCCAGGCTGCTCCAGCCCCAGTGTCCAGCCTGGCCTTGGACATTCCAGGGATGCAGGGGCAGCCCCAGCTGCTCTGGCAATTCCAGCCCAGCCAGGAATTCCTCATGGCCAAGATCCCATCCATGGCTGCCCTCTGGCAGTGGGAGCCATTCCCTGTGTCCTGTCCCTGCAGGCCTTGTCCCCAGTCCCTCTGCAGCTCTCCTGGAGCCCCTGCAGGCCCTGGAATGTGCTGGAAGCTCTCCCTGGAGCCTTCTCTTCTCCAGGAGAACATTCCCAGTGCTCCCAGCGTGATTCCAGCCCTGGAGCAGCTCCATGGATTTCTCTGGATTTGCTCCAGCAGCTCCTGATGATCCCCATTTTATCAGGAGCTTTATAAACATAGAACAACTCCCACCAATTTTTTTGGACACTCCAAACTCCCTCAGCAGGATGGGATCCCAAGGATGTTTTCCTCACTTGTATTTGGAATAAAATCCCATTTATCCTCATGAAAAGGGAACAGCAGATTCCAAAAGCAGGGAAGGAGCAGCTCCACATCCCAGTGATGCCAAGGAGGGATGGAGCTGGTTTGCCTGCCAGTTTTCCTGCCAGTTTTTCCAGTAGCAGCAGCAGGAATCACAGATTTCCACCTGGAACAGCCTGGAAAAGCCCAGGAGCTCCATCCCTGAGGAGCAATTCCTGGCAGGAGTTAATTGGAAGCAAAAAAACCACTGGGATGAGATGGATGAACACAAATCCCTGTGTCCAGAACAGGGCTGGATACTCATCCATGGATGAGCCACTGCTTTGGGGTTATGGGACCATCCCAAAAATTCCTGCTCCTTCATCCCTGGATTTAAGCTTATTCCTTTCCAGAGTTCATTTGGATAAATTCCCCTCATCTCCATATGGATAAACCCACAATTGCTTTATTTTCCTCACGGAAATCCTGTCCTTTTTTTCTATTTTTCCCTTTCCTTTTTCACAGGAATATTTTTTTCCTCTCTCTTTTATTTACATTTTTTCTCTTCCCTCCTTTTCTCCCTTCCCTCTTTTCCTTCCCTTTTTTTTTTTTTTTTTTTTTTTCCTGCCAGCAACAAATCATTCCTCGAGGAAGCAGCAGCCTCCCAATTTTTCTTGGAAGTGCTTCATTCCTGAAGCAAGAAACTGCCAAAATGACAGAGGAATTACTGAATTAAAGGAATCTCATTACCCTGAGCAATTTCCCAGCAAATGGGATCAGTTCCAAACCTCAGCCAGATCTTGGCAACCTCTGGAATCTCTGGAATCGCCTCCACGAGGATCTGTGGAGTATTTTAGAGCCATTCCCAGGGAAATGAGCAGTGGTGCCATCCATGGTGCCACCTCTGGGAGATTTTCCCTCCTTTATCCCAAAAAATCCCACCCTGGATGGCTTCTCTCCCCATGCCAGCCTATCCTTCATCCCTCCTTTATCCCTTGTTCCCTCATCCTCTTCCAGTAAAGAATTCCAGTTTTAATTGGATCAAAACTGGGGTTTTTTTTTTCCTCTTGTGAGCCAGAAATTTGCTGGGTTCATAATCCATGAGGTGGAATTATCCTGTGGTTTGATAAAATCCAGGAAAACAGGAGGAACATCCATGAAAACCTCACAGAGCTGCACTCAACAGCATTCCCTGGAAGTTTAGGATTTATTTTCCCTGCTTAAACCATCTAAAAATCCAGGAAATTAATGGAGGTGAATCCAGATCTTTGTTCCTAAAAAACAAAAATGGGAATATCCCTAAATAACTGCACCACATCCTGATTTTTCTTTCTCCTTCTTGTGCTCCTGGAAGATCTCAGGACATTTATGGCAAATAAATTTAAATTTTACTTTCAGATCCAAATATTCCCCAAATATTTGCCTCAGGAAATAATTACTGGGATTATTCTCGATAGGAATATTCTTATTTTTCCAATGGATCGTTTCCTACTGTTGCTATGGAAAAGCAGGAACAATTTAGGAGCCAGGTCAGGAATTATTTGCTTTACCTTGTGTGCCTTAAGTATTCCAAATTATCACCGAGGGCTGATTAACATATGGCCCTTAATTGGCATTAATTGATGGTTTATTCCAATTGGATGCTCCAGGTGCAATAAACACGGAGTTACCCGGGAATGGCTGGAGCAGGGAGGGATTTTTAGTTCCATTTTGGAATATTTTAGGTGGGGTTTTATTGCTTTGAAACGACCGCGGATTTGTGGCCTGGCGATAAACTGGAAAATGGAACCATGGAATTCTTCAGGTGGGGAAAGATAATTTCAGTTCATTGGTGTTAAAATTGTTATTTTGTAATTAGAAATTCATGGAATCATGGAATGGGTTGGGAGAGATCCTAAAGCCCATCCAGTTCCATGGGCAGGGACACCTTCCACTATCCCAGATTCTCCCAGCCAACCTCACCTTGGACATTTCCAGGGATGGGGAATCCACAATTTCTCCAGGAAATCTTTCCCAGGGCCTCCCCATTCCCTGGGTAAGGAATTTTTTCCTCCCATCCAATCCAGTTCTCCCCTCTGTTGGTTTTAAACCATTCCTCGTCCATATATCAGGTGCTGTGTTTCCCTTCCCACAGGAAAATGGGAATTCCGACAACGGCTCCGCGATCCCAAGGCACAGATCCAGAAGATCTCACCCCATAAGGATCCCATTCCAGAGCCATCCCAGTGATCCAGGAGGAAGCAGTGCCCCTTCCCTGGAGGCTCCACCACCAGCTCAGCCCCCCGGTGCTCCAGGAGCTCGGAAATTCCCGTTGGGATCCATGGTGAGCAATGGAAGTGGATCCTTATTTTCCCACATGGGCAAAGACAAAATGAATGTGGAATTTTAGGGATAAATATCCATAAATAAAGCAGGAAACAGGTGCTGCAGGAACCATTTTTTATGGACAAACAGATCCTTCTCCATGAGTTTATCCAGGGAAATGAGAATAATTTGCTTTTTGGGGAAAACAGAACAACTGGAATCCCCTTGGAATGTCGAAGGTATTTCCCTGTGAGGGTAGGTGGTGATAAACCTGCCCATTCCTGACACACTTGGACATTCCAGGGATCTTTAACACAAGATCCCAGAAATGGGGGGGGGGGGGGGGGGAAGTTGATTTTTATAAAATTTAGGAGCAAAAATTCCTGTTCCCAGGAGTTAAGGATGGAAAATTCAGGATGATTTTCCTGTGAATGGATTTCTTTGAAAGCAGGGAGTGACCCTTGCCCTGCATTCCCGGGAGGAATGAGCTGAGCTCATCCACACCTTCTCCAGAAATTCCAGGGCTAAAGTGGGACAACTGTGCCATTGCCAAAAGCCTGGAATTCCTCAGGAATTGCTCAGGAATTCCTTGATCCTGGCAGCTCTGAGATGTCCCATCCAGGCTGGAGCAGATGGGGAGCCTGGAGCCACCCCAAATCCAACCAGGAACCCTCCAAAGCATCCTGGTGATCCCTGGAAACCCCCAGCTTCCCTCTGGGATTTCCCACCTCCTTCCTCACATCTCATTCCTCAGAGGTGTCTTTTCCATGGCCCAAGGAAAAGTTTTTCCAGCTGTTCTCACAATTTCTCTCTTCCTTTTGAATCCAAGGCCTATCCAGGTCCTCATCATCCAAGGAGGATTAAGGTACGGAATTCCTCCTGTCCTGCTCTTATCCCAGGGAGGAGGCCGCTGCTCCTTTCTCCCATCCCATCCCACCCTATCCCATGGATCCCATGGATCCAATCCCATGCATCTGGTCCCATCCTATCCCATCCCATGAATCCCATGGAACCTATCCCATCCCATCCCATCTCATGGATCCTATCCCATCCCATCTCATGGATCGGATCCCATGGATCCCATCCCACAAATCCTATCCTATGTCATCCCATCCCATCCCATGGATCCCATCCCACAGATCCTATCCTATGTCATCCCATCCCATTCCATGGATCCCATGGATCCCATCCCATGGATCCCATCCCATCCCATGGATCCCATCCCATCCCATCCCATGGGTCCTATGGATCTCATCCCATGGATCCCATCCCATCCCATCCCATCCCATCCCATCCCATCCCATCCCATCCCATCCCATGGATCCCATCCCATCCCATTTTTTCCTTGCAGGAGGGAAGTGGCCCAGCAGACCCCTCCTCCCCTGGCCCAAAGGTCAGTGCTTTTATCCCACATTTTAATGCGCATTCCTGGGATAATGATCCATTTTTTCCAGAGCTGTCTCACTTTGGAAACTGAGGAATCACAGGAAAATATCAGGAAAATCGAGATGAAATCAACAGTTTTGCCATTGGTGATTGAGCTAGTTTGAGCAGAAATTCCAGGATGGAATCTTTCACAGCTGATCCAAACATGGGATTTGTGTTTTGGGAATTCTCAATCAGTTTGGGATTCCTCCTGTCTCCTTCAAATTCATGGAATTCTTTAACGCCCGCAGTTATCCTGGGATAGGGAAACCCCGGATTTGTCCCTTGCTCCAGGATTTGTGCTTTTCCCTCTGCATTCCCACTGCACAGGAGAATTCCCAATCCGTTGTGGGAATGCGAGTGCTGGAAATCAGGGATTCCTCCATGGATATTTGCCAAAAACTGGGTCAGGAATGAGGGCAGCACCCACCTGCTGCAAAGAGGGAAGGGAAAATTCCTTGGAATAATGAATTTTTGGGATTGACTTTTTTGGGGATTTGTTGTTTTCCAGGGAGAAATGGGAGCTCCTGGATCCCGTGGAGACAAAGGAGAAAAGGTAGGGATGGGGTTTTCCTGATCCTTTGAAACCAGAATTCCCTGTGCTGAGAGGGTCTGGAAAGGGAAAGGCAGTTGGGAATATGCCCATGGAGAGGACAATCAGATCCAATGGAAACTGGGATTGGCACATTCCCACCTTTATCCCCAAATCTTCCTGGAGGGTTCCCAAATTCCAGCAGTACATACATCTGCCACGCTCAGGGGGAAATACAAAATTTAAAGGTGGGATTTAGTGATTTTTGAGGAATTTTCCAGCCTAAATGATGGAATTATTCTATCCTGCAATTCCAAAAATTGAAGGGAAAGTTCCTAGGAATAATGAGCTTTTGGGATTGAAAATTCCTGTTGGTTGTTTTCCAGGGAGACATGGGAGCTCCTGGAGCCCATGGAGACAAAGGAGAAAAGGTAGGGATGGGGTTTTCCAGCCTGATCCTTTGAAATTCCAGCAGTTTCCCACACATCTGCCATGCTCAGGAGGAAATCTAAAATTTAAAGATTGGATTTAGTGATTTTTTGAGGAATTTTCCAGCCTAAATGATGGAATTATTTTGTTCTATGATGACGAAAATTCAAGGGGGGTCCCCAATATTCATTTTCTGCTGGATAAGAGAACTAAAAGATGGGATGGGCAAGGAAATTCCAGCCCTGGCACGAGGATAGGGATGGAAAAAAATGCCACAAAAAACCTCATTTCAAGGACACTTTGTGCAGTGAAAATGTATAGGGAGCAGGTGGCAGATCCAGGGGGGCAGGACATGGAATTCCAGGAGAAAAAGAGGGTTGGTAAAAGGCAGAATCCCATGGGGAATTTCGAATGGAATCCTGCGAGAAAAGGAGGGAAAAGAAGAGGCTGGAAAGGGAATTTTGTTTTGCAGGGCCAGCATGGGGATGTGGGAGAACCTGGAGAGAAGGTGAGTTCTGGAATCAACTCCAAAGTTTATTTGGGAATCTCCTCCAAGAGCAGCCTGGGTGGGGCTGGATCCAATCCCAACCCTGGAATATCAATGGATTAAATGTAAGGAATTACAGAGCTGTGGGTGAACCTTTGTTCAGCAAGACACATGATGGCGAACCAAAAATACTGATATAAACAAATAATTATTTATTATTAACAAATAATTAGACAAAAATATCATCATCAGAATTATTTATCATGGAGAAGCTGAAACTCCCAGGATAGGACAGAACAGTGTATGATACTGAAGTAATTAAATTAATCATTTTGGTGTTTGAAAATAATTTATTTATTTTAAAGCAATTCTTTTTAAAGCAGTTAATTACTATTTTATAATATTTAGTATTTCTTTTTAAGCAATTACCTTAAAATTAGCCAAAAAACCCAATTATTGAAGTAGAGATTGGTGTCACTCACCCACACATGACCTGAGAGGGGCATTTGATGCCCCCTCTCATCCCATCACTGAATTCCTTGGAATTAGAGCGTTTTCCCAGGTTTTTTCCCCACATTCCATGAAGAGAATCCCTGGAAATCTCCTGCTCAGGGGTGATAATTCCATTACCTCGGAATCTTCTCTTTATTCCCCAGGGCACCAAAGGAGACCAAGGGGAAGAAGGTCAAAAGGTAAAGGACAAAGCTGGTGCCAGCCAGGAGTGACTTTTCCTCCTTTTCCCATATCCCACGTTCCCACCACGGGATCCGTGTCCAGGTCACCTCCTGAGGTGTGGCTGGGGACCAGGAGGAGATTCCAGGAGGATTCCAAAGTGTCACAGGACAGGATACTTTGGGAATGAGTCATGAATGCCAGGGAATTTGTTTGACCCAGAATTGTGGGATAATGTTCCCAGGAATATTCCAGGAGGATCACATGGACAAGTCACCTTGGGAAAGAGTCATGAATGCCAGGGAATTTATCTGATCCAGAGTCTTGGGATGCCATTCCCAGGAATCCTCCAGGAGGATCACATGGACAGGACACCTTGGGAATGAGTCATGACAGCGAATGTGTTTGACCCAGAATCCTGGGATAACATTCCTGAGAACATTCCAGCTCCCTCTTTTCCAGAGCAGATTCCCAGCAGCTTTGTCTCTCCAGCTCAGATCATCCAGAGGAGATGAGGGCTCTGCAGGAACCCTTGGAACGGGATCAGCTCTGTGGGATTTCAGCTGGATGTCCACGGAGCAGCACGAACCAAACTCTCCCTGTGCTGGGTTTACACTGGAAGGAGAATTCCTGACTTTTCCTGACTTTCCTTTCACAGGGAGAACCAGGAATTGGGTTCAGAGGTCCCATTGGCCAGGCTGGGCCACCTGGATTTAAGGTAAGGTTGAATCTCGCTTGGAATTTTTTTTTTTTACCCTGGGTTTTTCCTCTTCGTCATCCTGGTTTTCCACTGCTGGGTGTGGAGCTGCAAAGGGAAAGCACCAAAATCATCCTGGAAAGGCAGGAGAAGGATTTGGGATAGAGGGAACTCTCTGTGTCCTCCAAAGGGCTGTTCCAGAAGGAGATCCTGAGGATAATTATGGAATCATGGAAGGGTTTGGGCTGACCTCTCTGCAATCAGCAGGGACATCTCAGGTTGGGGGAAAAAAATCCAGGGAATTGTAGAGCTCCAGGAATCCCTGGGATGTTTGAATTACCACAGGTCAGGAGCTAAAGGCTCTGTCCTTATTTAGCCATGGAAAAACCCTTTTGTTGCCAAAACTTGGGAAGAAAAGGCATTCCGAAGTTCGGTGAAAATTTCTCCTGCCCTTGGATCTTCTCATGGATCGGGACTGGAAGTGGTGTCCCAAATTCCACACACTCATCATGGAAATTGAAGGACACATCCCAGACTTTCTCCAGGAACCCCAGCAAATCCCACCCAATATCCCAATTCCTTGTGATTCCCTCACCAGGGCGAGCCAGGGGCCCCGGGACCTCCAGGAGCTCCGGGCATCCAAGGAATTCGCGGCAACGCTGGCACTCCCGGATCCCAGGGGGACAGAGGAGCTCCAGGTGTGCCCGGAATTCCGGGACAGAAGGTGAGGGGACACCATGGGCTGTGTTTGTCACCTCAAGGTGACCACAATGAGCAAACTGCCCAGGCCACGTGGCCCCTGTGGGACAAACCCCCACAATTCCAGGTCTTCCTGAGCCTGGACATTGTCAGGGAAGTGGGAACAAATCCCAGTTGGGAAAGGAAAGGTACTGGGAATGATTAAAACGATGGGATGATCCTCAGGTTCCGAAAGAAAACAGTGGAGCTCCCAGGAAGTTGTTCTTCCTGGGAATTTAATGGTGTATCTGGAGGAGGGGACTGGGAAGGAGTGGCCGTGGGGATGGCAGCTGGAATTTTGGGGTCATTAATCCCTGGGAACAGAGGGAGGAATCCCAGAATCCCAGGATCACTGCGGTTGGGAAAACCCTCCAAGATCAAGGAGTCCAAGCTGTGCCAAATCCCCAGTGAGAGCCACCTCCAGGAATTCCTTGGATGCCTCCAGGGATGGGCACTCCAAACCTCCCTGGGCAGCCCCTGCCAATGCCTGACCATCCTTTCCATGGGGAAATTCCTGCCAGTGCAGGGAACACTCGGATCACCAGCTCCTGCTTTTGTCTGGATCAGGGAAGTCAGGACCATTCCCATGCATGTCTTCTCCTCTCAAAGGGTTTTGTTTTCCAGGGGGAACGTGGGAGGAGAGGCCGGAGTGGATCTCCTGGGCCCATGGGACCATCGGGATCCCCAGGAAAAGAGGTGGATTTGTAAATATTCCCTGTGCCTTTTGGGAGGGATGGATGAGGGATCTGGGCTGGATGAGCTTCGATCCTCTGGGAATGTTGGGATAGGAGAGCACTGAACACTTCCAAAGCAAATCCTCCCTTTTATTTGTTTATTTTTTCTCCTGGTCCTACAGGGAATTCCTGGGACACCTGGACCCAAAGGCAACAAGGTCAGTGCCACCCTCCCGGGAAAGTCATGAGCAGAAATCCTGGGATGGGAATGGGACAAATCCCTGCCTTCTCCTGGCTCCTCATCCCTGACCCCATCCTACTTCATCCCATTCCACCCTCACTCCCTTCCTCCCATGGTTCCTGGAGCACCCTCCAGAGAGAACAGCAGAAAATCCATGGAATTGAGTCCTGAGTCTTCCTGGGACTTCAATCCTGGCCAAACTAATCAGGAATTGTGTGGTGGGGTTTCCCTGCTCCCGGCGACACTTCTGGAATTCTTTGCTTTCCAGGGAGAAGTCGGTGTTGGAGCCACTGGCCCAAGAGGTCCCCATGGATTCCCTGGCCCTCGGGTAGGTCCATCCATAAATATTCCAGGCTTGGATTTCTGCAGCCTCCAGCCTGCTTTGGAGGCAGCTTCATCCATCCACTACCCATCCCAGAAATTCCTGAAGGGTTTCAGGCAGCAAAATTCCTGTGAAGTTTTGGTCTCATTCCGGAAAAAACAAAGTCGGAATCGGAGGCCGTGTTTAAATTTGCTGCTCCTGTGGCTGTCCCACAAATAAATCGGGATTTTATGGCCCAATCCATTGGGACAAACTCCTCACCTGCCTTGGGATGGGGCCCCTGAGGCAAAACACTCCCTGGAAACATCAACAGCTGTGGGTAAACCTCGCTGGAGCTTCATTATCCAAAGGAAATGATGGAATAATGTTTCTGCTCTTCCGAGCTCCAGCAAAAATCTAAATCTCAGGATCTCAGGTTGCGTTGGCTTCATATGGGAGACCTAAATTTGGCCTCAGTTATTTGGAATTTGGGCAGTTCCTGAGGTTTAAAGGCTGGTCCTGTAGGGCCAACTCAAGGAGGCCTCCATGGGCCCTCCAGTGCAGCTCTTCCATCCCAATCCGTAAGAACGCCCGGCTCCTAATCCTGATGGAGGGATGAGGAGGTTGGACAGGTTCTCTGGAGACAGGGAATTCTGTCTGCCCCATTCCCAGCAGGATGGTTTGTGGGTTTGGGATTCCCTGTGTGCCTCATTCCTCGTTGCTATCCCTGCCCCTCTGCGTCCCCCAGGGTGACGAGGGCATCGTGGGAATGCGGGGTCCCCCTGGAATGATGGTGAGTGTTCCAATATTCCCGGAAAACCATGGATCCACGGCTAGCAGAATCCCCATGAGCCATGAGAGAAATAAAATGGGATTCTTCCAGTGGGAAATGGAGATTTGGGAACCTGAATTCCAGTGGGATGGGGGAGTGGAAATCCTGTGAATTCCTTGCTGTCCTTGTCCATTTGGGTGGCTCATCCCAAGGTTTGGAAGATCTCCTGGAATATCAATCCCTGCCTGCTGTTGTCAGGAATTTCAGGGCAGGAATTTCAGGCTCTTGTTCCACTGGAGGGGGCTGAGTAGGGAGAGACACAAATGGCAGCAGAAATTTGGATAAACTCATTATTGTTTGTTAATTATTATTTATTAGGCTGTTGTTTTTCATGGAATGAAAGGAAGAGGATTTTTTTATAAGGACGCGGAGCAATAGGAAATGGGGGAATGGCTTTAAACTGGAATAGGGCAGGGATAAATAGGATATTGGGAAGAAATTCTTCCCTGTGAGGCTGGGGAGGTCCTGGCACAGAATTTCTGCAACTCGTATCTTATCTAAAACTCCTATTTTATCTACAACTCTTTTCTCCACATGGTTCCCTGGTGTTGTGGGGAGCACCTTCCCTTTTAAACCAGTGGGAATAATCCCAGGATCTCCTGGGAATGGACTGGGAGAGCCCCTGGATCAGCCTTTGGGAATTATCCCAGATCTCCTGGGAACAGACTGGGAGAGCCCCTGGATCAGCCTTTGGGAATAATCCCAGATCTTCTGGGAATGGGCTGAGAGAGCTCCTGGATCAGCCTTTGGGAATAATCCCAGCATCTCCTGGGAATGGGCTGGGAGAGCCCCTGGATCAGCCTCATGTGCTCTGCACTCCAGCTCCAATTCCATACAGATTCCATTAAAATATTTGAGGGAGAAATTTGGGAAATCCTTCATTTTCAGGATGCCATCCCACCCCTCCAGGATGGAGGTGCTGAATCCCACTGGGATGAGAAATCCAGCAGCAATCCCACATTGTGCTGAGCATGGAGTCAGGAAAGCCACCTCAGTCCCCTGGGGTTTTATTCATTGTCAGCGCCATAAATTTGGGTTTTCCACAACATTTCATGGCGAGCCGAGGGTTTTCCAGGGTGTCCAGAGGATCTGACTTGCAGCTCCAGGAGATTTAAGTGGCTTGGAGTGGGAATCAATGGCCTGAGCAACACAAGAGGGAATAAAAAGGGAATAATTCACCTAGTTTTTTTTTCTTTTCCTGTTTTTAGGGTGATCGGGGACTTCTGGGACCAAAGGGAGAACGAGTAAGGACATTCCAGATTTTTTGGGGTTTTCCTTTCACTGTGTGGCTCCCAGAAAAGCCTGAATCCATCCTCTCCTTGCTGTGCCTATGAAATTAAGAGGAGGCAACACCTGGATTCTCCCCCTGCTTTTTGGGGGTCTCCACCAGTTTAAATCAAATTTTTTTATTCCGTCCTCGCACTGGAAGCATCTCTCAGAGCTGAGTTTGTGGGATGGATTTGATGGAATCCTACAAAGCACAACAACAACCAAAAAAAAAAAAAAAAAGTAATTTTAGGAACAATTTGCTGGGGCACAAAAATCCTGAATTAAGAGAGGAAGAAAATTCCCCCTGATTTTTGGAATGAGCAGCTGACCCCAAAGCCAACCTTAATTTCCAACAGCCCGAGCTGGCTCCTGACAGGTAATGGGAAAATAACTCCTCAAGTGCTCCTGGAAAATGCTCAGAAACCGCTGAACTCGTGCCCGGCGTTTTGTTAAGTCCCTTCCTGGCCGGAATGGCTCGTTGGAAAATGAGGTTTTGGAAAAGCTCCGTGATGATGCCGCCTTTGAGTCACGCAATATTCCGTGATTAAGGCCCATTTGTCTCTGAGGAAGCTCCTCTGGAAAGGAACTCGCCCCGGAGACCAATCAATTCTTAATTTGCTTCGTGAGGAGGCCTCGGAACTCTTCCCGAGCTGAAGGAATGTGGGATGAGTTTTCCGAAGGATGCCTTCGTAAAAGATGAGGTGGAATCGGAGATAAAACGGGAGCCGGAGGGAAAAATTGCCTTGGGTTTGTTCCACCTGATTCCAGCTTAATTTTCCATCTCATTCTCCCTGGATCAGTGTAGGAATAACTCCACGGATTAAACTGCAGGATTTTTAGTCTCCCTTCTATTCCCAGAATTTGTTGAGCCATCCTGGCTCTGTTAGAGAGCTGGGAAGCATGAATGTGTATGAAACCAGAATTCGGGCAGGGTCCTGTGAAGGGGGTTGGACAGAGTCCAAAAAATGTCAGATTTTTGGGAATATTGACAGATGTGGAGTTGGTAAAACCCGAGCAAGGCGGAATCACCCGGATCAGGAATATTTGCACTGAAGGCAGTTGAGTGAAGGGAATTTTTTCCGAAGGGAACCCAGCTGCCCACCTTTGGAGACACAACCATCCCTTCTCCAGAGCGGAGCCATTCCTTGGAATAGCCAGGATTCCACTCCCTGAGGAGCTCGGCATGGATGTGTCTGTGGGGTTCCTGTGTCCCTGTGGCTCCCAGGGGTGACACTTTGGGGGTGTCACCACCCAAAACCTCCCTCTGAGGAGTGACCTTGGTGCCATTCCTCAGCTCTGGCTGTGTCCATAATCCGGGACACCATGGACAGCTCCATTCCCTATCCTGCCTGTGGCCGCTTCCCACAGCTGGGAAGAACTGGAAATCCCAATCCCCTGAGTGACAAAGCCACGGGTCACTCATGGAATCTGTCCCAGCACTGGGATCAGGGAATGATCCCGTTGTCCCTTTCCATCCGGGAGAACTGTGTTGGGATAACACCAGCGGGCTCCAACGTTTTTAGGGACAGGAAGCCACTGGGAAATCTCAGGATTTGGGGTTTTCTGGGCACGTTCATGACCCAGCTTTTAATTAAGGGTGATTAACCCTAACAATTAATGTCGTTTAATCACTGCATTCCCAGTGGGATCCATGAGCTCCCTGTGGATCCCTTTCCCTGTTTCTCCTTTCTCCAGGGTGAATCCATGACAATTTTTGGACCCCAGGGCTACAAAGGCACCAAAGGAGATCCCGTAAGTTTGGTTTTCCAAGTTGTCCCTTCCCTGCTGAGGATCAGTGCTAGGAAGCAGCACTTGGATCCAGCTGGATCCTTCCAGGAGAGGTGGAATAATTCAAATCCACCAATTCCTGGTTTTCCTTTCAGGGTGAGCAGGGACTGCCAGGTTTTGATGGAGACAAAGGCGAGAAGGGAGAGGACGGACCCGTAGGAGAAAAGGTGGGAACTTCCCAAAGCCTGTGAGGAAGGGACTGAGGGTGGTGAAAGGAATTCCCAGAAAAATTATGGATGCCCCTGGATCCCTGGAAGTACCCAAGGCCAGGCTGGACATGGCTTGGAGCAGGGTGTCCCACAGCTGGGATTGGAGCTGGGTGATCTTTAAAGTCACTTCCATCCCAAACCATCCTGGGATTCTCCAGTCTCTGCTGGAAAACACAGCCACACCCAACTCCGGCACTGACAGGGAGAGGAGGGGGCTGGGCAGGGGCATGGGGACCCCAGACACATCCCATTTCTCAGGTGTCCCCCTGGGAAAAGTGATCATTCCATTCCCACATCCCCCTCTCCCTCCAGGAGCCATCCCTGCTCCTGGAGCCTCTGGAATGCTCTTGGTAAGGCTTGGATGGCTCCCGTGTCCCTGTTGTGTCCCCTGGCTGGTGGCATGGCTCCTCCCTCTCCCTCTGCTCTCTGGGAGCTCATCCCAGGTCCCAACCCAGCCCCGTTTTCCTGGGAGGAATCACAGAATTCTCCCACTCCCAGCTGAGTCACAGCTCCCGTCTCCGTGTCCTACTCATCCCAATTTCCATCTCACGGAAATGGCTTTGGCTTCACAAGGCTGACCCAGGACTGAATAAATTTGAGTTCCTACAGCAGCAGTGACACATCCAGCTCCTGTTACTTCCCACGGGAAGCTGGATCCCGGTGTAGTCCAGGTGGGAATTGCCTGATCCAAGGTGGGCATGTCCCTTGGGAAGAGGCAGATCCTGCCCTTTTCTGATCCTGCTGCTCAGGTCCCCAAAGTTAGGGAAACTCTTGGAGATTCTCCCATGTTTTTTAAAGTTGGATAACATTCCATGTCCCTTGGGAAGAAGCAGATCCTGCCCTTTTCTGATCCTGCTGCTCAGGTCCCCAAAGTGAAGGAAACTCTTGGAGATTCTCCCATGGTGGGGGTTCCTGTGTTTTAAAGTCAGATAAAATTCCATGTACTTCATTTCTCCAATTGGACTCTGATGAAAAATCCTCCATAAAAGTTAATCCATAAAAAAAAAACCTCATTAAAATATTCCAGAAATACTAATCCACAAGTCAGATAAAATTCCATGAGAATATAATCGGAGAAATTTAATTTCTCCGATTGGACTCTGATGAAAAATCCTCCATAAAAGTTAATCCATAAAAAAAAAAAACTCATTAAAATATTCCAGAAATACTAATCCATGAAAAACAATCCGTAAAATAACACACAAACATCTCCTCTTGGATAAATATCTGGATGACTCCGGAGAGCAGAATCTCGAGCCCCAGTGAGCCCAGCAGGGTGTTCTCCTGGATTTTTGGCAGAGATACAGCTCATCCCGAGGATCCAAACCCCCTTCCTGCCTGTTTCCCTTCAATCCCCACCACTGGGCAAGGAATCTTCTCCAGAACAATCCCCAGAGCTTCCTGCCAACTCCTGGCACTGGTGGCTTTCTTCCCGACCCCTGGGATGGAATTTTGATATGGAAATGGTGCTTTTGGTCATCTTGATTATCTCCATGGGTTTTTCCATGGATAAATTCCAGAGAGCAGGTGCTCACAATGTATTTAACAGGGATTTTAACATTTTAGGGAATCAAAGGAGAAGCTGGATCTAAGGGAATGATGGGACTTTTTGGGAGCAGAGGACCCGTAGGACAGAAGGTGAGCTCCAAACTTGAGGCATCTCCTGCCAGGACTGAGGTGGAAAATCCCATCTCTGGTTTTCCCATGGGATATAATCCCTCATTCCCTCCCCATAATTGCTGATTGGAATGACTGAAGCTCTGGAAAAGCAGGAGCAGCTGCACTTTTCCAGGAAAATCCTGAAGATTTTAATGGAGCAGAGCACTCTGGGAGCTTTCCCAGGCTGGAATGGTCAGTAAGGAGTTGCTGGAATGTCAATATTCCAGGAGGGAGGTGAGAGATGTTCTCCAAGCTCCATTTAGACTCCATGGAATCCATTGTTTTCCAGCAGGGATATTTGGGATATCCCACTGCCCTTCCAGCTGCTACTGTAAGGAGCTCCTCAAAGCTCTCCTTGTCCCTTTTCCAGAATTCCTACAGCATTCCCTCTTTCCAGAGGGATCTCAGCTCTTCCCCAGGGTAACTCATCCCTGCTTTCCTTGCAGGGGGAGCCAGGAGAACCGAGCTCGCCGGGATCTTCCGTGAGTCGGAAAACGTTTCCCTGCGTTTCCAAACCCTGGGTGTGGAGAAGGGCCCTGGTCCTCTCCCACCACCAGGAATTTGGGAAAGGGTGGGAAGAGGCCATGGGAACTCAGAGCTGCTCCCCAAAGTCCCTGTTCCAGGAGGTTTTGCTGGAAAACCAGCGTGGATATCAGGGATCACAGCCAGAGGTTTGGGGTTATGGCTTGTGGAAGAAATTCCTCTCTGTGAGGTTCAGGATGCCCTGGCACAGAATTCCCCCAAAAAATAAGGATGCCCCATTCCTGGAAGTGTCCAAGGCCATGTTGGACAAGGCTTGGAGGAACCTGGGATAGTGGGAGGTGTCCCTGCCCTTGGGACTGGAACTGGATGGGATTTAAGGCCCCTTCCCTCCCAAAGCATTCCATGATTCCATGATTTTGCATTAAGGAACGCAAGAAAAATACATTTATTTAATGTTTTTAATGCCTTTGGTGTATTTGCCCCAAGTGGAAAAATCTCCAAGCTCCAAAGGCTCTCAGGATCACGGAATCATGGAATATTTGGAGTTGGAAAGGACCCACCAGGATCAACGAGTCCAGCTCTTAAATTAAAGGGCCCAAACTCCAAATTTCCAAGGTTGTCCAAAGAAATAAGTCCCCATTGATTCCTGGTCACAGCCATGGAATTATTGACAGGTCTGAAATCCTGAGTGGGAATTGCTCCCTGAGGAAAATGCCCTCATCCAATTAGCTATTGTATTAATTATTATTGCTATTAATAATTATAAACAACCTTCTGAGCACTTGGCCAAAGCCTAGAGGCCGGAATGTGCTGCAAGACCTGGGATCAGCACAGCTAGGGGTTGGATTGAGGATATTTATGGAATTGTTTTGTAGGGAACACCTGACTCCATGGGGTGAATCCATCCAGGAATGGAGCAAAGTTTGCTGAGTGCAAAGGGATCCCAACATCTCGGTTTTCCCTGGATTTTAGGGATAATAGCTCCCACAGAGTGGTGTCCTGCCATCCACCATCTAAGCAAAGCACAGGAGTTTTCCTTTTGGAAAAATCCTGGGATTCTGCTAGTGCAGGGCAAAGCTGGGATTTGATCCCTCGCCACATTTCAAAAATTGCAAAAGCCAGATCTGAGCTGGGACTCTGCTGGAGGACCCAGGATAAATTCTGGAATTCATCCCACCTGGGGCCACTCTGCCAGGTTCACTTCCCACTGGTTTTATTGGAAGATTTAAGGAATTCTCACCCATCATTCCCATCCATTCAGGCACCTGAGGGAGGATCCTGATGGGAATTAATTAGCTCCCACTTCATTTCCTAAGTGCTCCCACTTGGATTATTCCTTCCCTGAGTTATTCCCGAGCCGTCCCTCATTCCCCAAATCCTCTTTTCCCGAGGACAGAACTCCCATCCTGCCTGGATCCTACACCAAATCTTCCAGGTACAGCCTCGTGCTCCTCATTTTCCTTCATTTCCCTCTAATCCCACCTTTTATTCCCACAAATTGCCAACAATTGCTGCTCCTGCTGAATTCCCTGGCAGTGATTTCGGCGCCCTCATCCATTTACTCTCCCAATTTTCTGATCCATGGAAGTTCCCAGCCGAGCTGACAGCATTTGTGTCTTCTCCCTGCAATTATTCCTCGGAAAATTTCAATGGATCCACTTGACTTCACACAAGGGTTCAGTTTTGATATTCCAGGCGCCTCCTCCTCCTTTCCCCTCTTTTCTAAAAGCTCTGCTCCCTTTTTATTTTGCTGTTCCTGCCTCGCTTCCCTCTTTTATGTTCCAATTGCTGCTTTTTATTCCCATTAACTCGTCATTTGGATCATGGACTCAGGCTTCCAGCTCCTCTTCTTTATTCCTTGTGATTGTGCATTAAAATTACAATGGATTAACCCGTTATTCTCCCCAAAACTCTGATTTTTAATGCTCTTTTCCCTTGTTTCTTGCTCCCTGATTTGATTTTCCAGAGATTCTGAATCCTTGGAGAACACCAGACTCGGAGTTCAGCAGGAGTGGGAATGGTTTACAAGCAGGAATTTGAGTTTGTGATGGACATTAAGTTTCCCAGGAAAACTGGGATCACACAGAATCCTAAAATGCTGAGGGTTGGATCATTCCCTTCCAGATCCTCTCATTCCAAACCCGCCGCCAAGGGGAATTTTCCACTAAACCAAGCAATTCCCACCCCAAACACCAAATTTTTGTAGGGGGAAAAGAGCTCAAAACTGCAGCAAATAACCCTGCCCCAAAATCCAGCAGGGAAGAGCTAAAACCACGGCTGGAGCTCCAGGGTGGAGCTTCCATTTGCATCATCCCATCAAATATTGAGGAGCGGGAGCCCAGGAGGTGGAAAACCTTTTAGGAGAAGTTTGGGGGATTCATCCTCCTTTTGATGTGTGCCTTCAAACGGCTCCATCCTTTCAGGGGAGCATCCCCATGGATTCCAGCCTTTCCCAGCGTGTCCCTGCTCATTCCCAGCTCCTTCCTGGCTCCTCCAGCCCGGAGCTCCGCGGGAATTTTCGCCTGGGAGCGGAGGATCCAAGGTTTCTCTGCGTCACAGGGTTGGTGACTCAGCCTCTCTGCGTGGCCCCAGAACGTTGGCAGTTCAGCTCCAGCAACGTTCGAATCCCAAATCCAAAGAGCCGGAGTCTGTTTCCAGCATTCCCGCAGTAATTGCCTTTAAATTGCCAGTTAAATTTTAATTTACTCCCATTTATTGTCCGGCCTTGACTTCCCTGGCACGACACCGGGATGGAAATCCAAGGGAACAAATTTCCATTTGGCTTCTTTGCATTTTCTTCTCTTTTTTTTTTTTTTTTCCTTTTTTTTTTCTCTTTAAATTCCTCCAATCCCATCTTCTCCCTGTCCTGGGAAAGCATCACCTCCATGATCTTCTTCCCTTTCAAGCCATGTCCAATCCCAATTTTAAACATTCCAATCCGCATTCCAAAATCTCTCCAGCAGGAAACCACTTATGGAGAGATAAAATCCTTGTCTAAATCTTATTTATGATGCCTGGACTAAGTAGGCCAGGCTTAGACCCAGCTTTCCAGCACATCCTTATGATTTTAAACATTCCAATCCATATTCCAAAATCTCTCCAGCCCAGGACAAGCAGCAAATTAATTACAGAGAGATAAAACCCAGGTCTAAACCTTATTTGTTGCCTGGACTAAGTAGGCCAGGCTTAGACCCAGCTTTCCTTCAGCATATCCTTGAGTGAGTTTAACTTTTCCTAAAACCAAATCTGGGATTCTCTCAGGACAAGAAGGATCTCATGGAAAGCAGGAAGATTAGTTGGACAGGAAAACATGGAAAACCTGCACTAGAGATATTTGGGATAATTAAGAGAAGTATTAAAGCTTAAATTAAATTTAAATTAAATTAAATTAGGAGAACTCTAATTAATCTCAGGTTTTTTTGTGCACAAAAAGAAGCTTTTTGAGCCATTCCTGCTCTCATCCCAGCTCCCAGCTCCTTCAAGACTCCAGGCACTTGAAGGTGTCCCGGATTTGTGGGATTTAACCATCACACAAATGGTTTATTACCCTCCAATCTGTCCCAGCAAACAGAAATATTCCCATTTTCCCAGGGTTTTATGGTTTATTTACGTCCCCAGATGGAATTTTCTATTGATTGTGTCAATAAATAGTTACCAATAAAGAGATATCTGTGCCTGGAATATGGAGGAACATGGATTTCCTCTGATCCAGGGAGTCCCTGGCACACAAATCTGATTTTTTTTTATCTTAATGAATTTGTCTCCTTCCAACAACCACAGCAAACAAATTCCAAGCAGAGAATTCCACTTGTTCAGCTCCTGATTTGCTCAAGCAGCCAATTCATTCTCCCCTGAGAGGGGCTCAAGTGGGGATAAATCCAATTTTTCCTTCACATCCAGGTGCTGGAAAATGCCATGAAAATTGGCCAGGATGGATGGGGAGACTGCAGCAACCTTGGGAAAAAGAAATTTAAATTTAAAAATAAATTTTAAAAATTAGGATTTTTAGCAGCTTTATTTGCTACCACAACAATGGGAGACTCCATGAAATGAGGTCCCAGCAGCCAAAAAATTCCACAATGGGATAAAAAACCTGCAGCCCCCTTAAATCATTCCTTAAATCCCTGTTCCCATTCCCAACTCCATCCAAATCTCCTTGCCTGGACTGACCCTTCTGCTGCCACAATCTCCCCAGTTGGAATTACAAATTCATCCCCTCCCAGGTTTCATTTGCTGGGGATTTACAATCCATGGAATTGGGGTGAGGAATGGGATCTAAATCCCAACCTCAGTCCTTGGGGCTGTTCCTGGGGGAGTTTCTTCCCTTGGATTGAGGGATCCTACAGCTGGGATTCCACTCTGGACTGTCCTCATCCCTCTTCCCTGAAAAAAGCAGGCTCTGGAATGAATTTTTCCCAACTTTCTGGCAGGGTGCAGCAGGACTGGATGGGAAGAACGGGATCAAGGGAGCCAAAGGTGACAGAGGCCTTCAGGGACAGAAGGGGAAGCCGGTGAGTGGCAGGAAGGGACACGGATTGTTTGGAAAAGGCACTGCTCTTTCCTGGATCCCACACTCCTTTTGGTGCTTTCCTGGATCCCACACTCCTCTCTGCTCCTTCCCAGATCCCACATTCCTGTCTGCTCCTTCCCAAATTCCCCATTCCTGCCTGCTCCTTCCCAGATCCCACATCCCTGTCTGCTCCTTCCCAAATCCCACATTCCTGTCTGCTCCTTCCCAAATCCCACACTCCTTTTGTGCCTTTCTGGACCCCACATTTCTCTCCCCTCCTTCCCAGATCCCACATTTCTTTCCCTTCCCACTCCCTAAAGGCCTCAGGGATTTCTTCAGGGTCCCCTTCAGTGTCTTTTCCAAATCCTGGAAAAGTCTCCAAGGCACATCCTGGCCTGGTTTTTAGGAGTTGTCCTCCTCCAGTTCCCAGCACGTCCATATCCCAAAATTTCTAACTTATCCCATATTTCCCAGCCTGAGCTTTCCTCTGTTTCTTACCAACACCCAAATTTCAATTCCCTTCACATCCCAAGTCCCTCTCTCCCTGTTGGAGAGCAGGAAACCAAGGAATCCTTTACTAAATCCCTCATGGATTTCCTGGGATCAGCTCCTTCATGACAGGGAGGGTCCCAAAATCTTCTGGCACATGGATGGGATTTTGGCCCATTATTCCCAAAAATTCATTTCCTTTGTCCTTTTTTTTTCCATGTAGGGAGGGAAAGGTGACCCTGGGACCACTGGTGACACCGGGCAGAAAGGGACAAAGGTAGGACATGGATGAGATCCCGGGAAATCCCCATCCTTGGAGATGCCCAAAATCCCCGGGAACGTGGTGGAACAGCTTTGGATGGCACCGCTCGGATTGGGAGTTGGAGAAACGTTCTCCAGAGCTCCTTCCAGCCTCAACCACTCCATGATCCTGGAGAAAAAAGGCTGGGACGAGCAGAGGTGGGGAAGGAGCTTCCAGCAGCCCCAGAATTCCTCCTCTGCCCTCATTCCCTGTCATCTCCTTAATTCCCAGGGCTTGCGGGGGCTTCCAGGCCGGATTGGCGCTCCCGGAGCCAAAGGTGCCAAGGTGAGCCAAGGCCAGCTTTCCACTCTGCTCCAGCTGCCCCATTCCCAAAACTGCTTACCACTCATTCCCAGGAAAGCTTCATGCATGGAATCCTGAGGAATCCACCCCATTTCTGGGGGAAATCCCTCCTGGAAGGCCTCTGAAGAGCAGAGAATCATGGATCGGGAAGCTTTAAGGCTTGCAGGGAACTTTGGGATAATCTAGGGTTAAAAACTAAACTAAACCCAGCCCAAATCCCTCCTGATCCGTGGCTTAGCAACGGCCTGGGCTCAGGTCTAAATTGGTGCCGGGCTCTTATCACCACCATTAGTTCCTTATCAGTAAACAATATCCAATGAGCCTTAATGGGCTTTTTATGGAGGGATTGGGAAGCTTGATAAGAGAAATGGGAGCTGTTGGTGACAGAGGCAATGTTGTTGTTATTATTGTGGCTATAATAATTTTTTTAATTAATATTATTTTTATTATTGTCGCTATTAATGGTTGGATTCATCAGCCCCGCTCCATTTGGTAACTGATTTTTTATCAAGGGAATCACCCACCTGCTTCCCTCCAGGAGAGCTTGGCGTTGGGATAATCTTCAGTTTTAAGGATTCCCAATTATCTTGGTGTTGAGTTAAATTAGTGTTAGTTTGTTAATTTGTCTCATTCATTAATAGTCAAATTTTAGTGATCTGAAATTTCTAGGCTGAGGTGAGACTTCATCTCTGAGTGTCATCCCAGGGTTATCCCTTTCCTTGCTTTTCCAGGGTTTTCTCGATGTTTTTGGGGTTCTTTGTCCTCACAGCCTCTCCACTGCTCTTCCATCCACAGGGAGAAGTTGGCAGTCCTGGAAAACCGGGAATTCCAGGGTTAAATGGACAGCATGGACCAAAGGTGAGGATCTGAACCATCACAGAATCATGGAATGGTTTGGGAAGGGACAATAAAGGTCATCCCACAAGAGTTTTCCCAGAAGTTTTCCCAAATCCACCTCTGGAAAACACTTGTTTCTTCCAAAGGGCATAAATTGGGTTTTCCTGGATCTGTTCCCATAAATCAGCATGGATTGGGTGAGGATTCTTGGATATTGGGATTGGGGTCTTTACTCACCTCCCCAGCTGAGTTCATCCATCCCAACCGGGATGCTCCACAGGTTCTTTTCCATTTTAATGGGAATTTTCCCTCTCCTGGAACACCACCAGTGCCCAGACTGAGGTGACACTCAGTAAATAACTCTAATCCAAGGAAAAACCAGTTAATTCCCAAAATCCCAGCCTTTCCAAGCCCACATTAGCCATGATTTTACCTTGGCTCATTCCAGGGTGAACCAGGAGCCTCGGGGAGCAACGGCGCCTCGGGAATTCCTGGGGAGAAAGGAGAAAAGGTTGGTGCTGAGCATGCTGCCATTTCCAAGGAATAAATCCCACATCCATCAGGTGCAGTTAACAAAATTTAACATTTTCCACATCACTGGTGCCCTTTCCAGAGGGGAAATGTCAACTGGCTGGAACGTTAGGGTTGGGAATGCAGTTGGAAAAGGGCAGGAGAGAGAGGTCTCCTTAAATTCCCCTCTGTCCATGGATAAAATCCCAGGAAGAGCCAGTTTAGTGTGAGGAGAAGCCATCCAGAGGGGCTGGGAGTCATTGGCAGAGTTATTCCACAACCATTCCCAGGGTAAATCCCTGGGATAGAAGTGGATCAGGCTGTGGCCACCTTGGCATGGGAAATGGGAAAGGTCTCCAGGCTGATCCCAAGTTCTGTTCTCATTTCCTTGAGGAATTCCCACCTGGATCACTCCTCACAAATCTTCCTTCTCAGCATTCCTTAATTTCCTGCTTTATTCCTTAAAAAAAAAAAAAAAACACACCTAAATTTGTACTCTGCCATATGGGAAAAAAAATTTGGGATTTCTGTTAAAACAGTAAATTTTTAAGGGAAAAAAAACCCCAAACAAAACCTCATCAGCCTCCATCAAATCTCTTGGCATTTTCCAGCCCCTCACGCCCTTCCCACATTCCAGTCTCCAATGGATTTGGGATCTTAAAAGATTTTATTGATAACCAATCTGTTCCCCATTCCTGATGGTCGAACACCTCCTGAAGTCTCTGGTTGGTGACTTGGAGATCATTCCCAGGGAATTCTCATTCCCTCCCTCTCCTGGCCTTCTCCTCTCCCACAGATTTGTTTTCCACCACTTCTGGGTGTTGGATTTTTCCTTCTGCTGCGTTTCATGGGAATATTTTCTGTTCCAGCAGCTCTGGGAGAAAGCTCAGTGGTGAAGATGAAATTTATGGGTTTGGGATCTTCCTCTTTCCTCATTTTTCCCAGGGTTACAAATGAAAAGGTTCTGTTTAGGTGAGCTGGGAATTTAGGAATTCTTAGGATTAGTTGGATGGAAAATCCAAGTCACCAAGCACCTTCTGGACAAGGAAAGGTGGAGAGCAAAGCTCCCACGCCAAGGAATGTGGGAGGTGTTCCCATATTCCCAATGCCATGGAAGTGTTTGGATGAGGTTTGGCTGCCCCATCCCTAAAACCCCTGTGATTCCCAGGGAGCCAAGGGAGTTCCTGGATTGGGAGGATTCAAGGGACAAGCGGGATGGCCTGGGAAGCCTGGAGGGGCCGGAGCAGCTGGACCTCGAGGGCCACAGGGAGAGCCAGGCCCACAGGTGAGCAGCAGGTCCCAAATCCCACAGGAATCCCACAGGTCCTGAATCCCATCATGTCCTGAATCCAACAGGAATCCCACTGGTCCTGAATCGCACAGGAATCCCACTGGTCCCGAATCCCACAGGTCTTCAATCCCAGCAGGTCCTGAATCCCACAGGTCCTGAATCTCAAAAATTCCGAATCCCACAGGTTCTGAATCCCACAGGAATCCCAGCAGGTCCAGAATCCCACTGTATTCACAGATGCTGAATTCCACAGGTCCTCAGTCCCAGAGATCCTGAATCCCACAGGTCACGACCCCCACAGGTTCTGAATCCCACAGGAATCCCAGCAGTTCTGAATCCCAGCAGGTTCTGAATCCCACAGGAATCCCAGCAGTTCTGAATCCCAGCCGGTTCTGAATCCCACAGGTCCCAAACCCCACAGATCCTGAATCCCACAGGTCCTAAATCCCACAGGAATCCCACATATCCCATATCCCACCGGGATCCACTCCTGGACACCCTTGTGTGCCCGAACACCCCTGAAGTGTCCCCATGTCCCTCCTCTCCCGAGCTCTCCCACATTCCCTCTTCCCACGGGATCTTCATCCATGGATTCCATCTCCCAGTTCCTTTCCCTCCGGAGATTTTCCCTCCCCTTTCCTCCCCTCCTTCCCCATCATCTGACCTCTCCATGGAGAGATAATTCCAGCTGACCTCTCCATGGAGAGATAATTCCAAGTGATCAGGACACCAAGTGGTTCATTATCCCAGGATCAGGATGCCGGGGCTTGGGAAGGAGCCGCTGGCTCTCAGCTCCTGTTTTTAATGAATATTTTTGCATTCCAGCCATGCTGGGCACCTTTAGAAATAGGGAAAAAAAAGTCCTGGGAAATGAGATGTTAATTCCATCAATGAGCAGGATCACCCTGCCCTGGAAGTTTTCTTGAGACAGCTCTGAGAAATAAATAACTTTCCAAAGTGAAAAAAGGCTGGAAATGAAAATTCCCTCCGTGGTTTTGCTGGGGGAGCTTCAGGCTTGGATTAAAGAACACAAAAATTACCTGGAAGATCCAGGAATCAAAGAAAAGTTGGGATAAAGTAACCTGGAAAACCAAATTTTATCCGTAAGGCCTGCTTGATTCCTGACAGCAGTCAGGACAGCAATAGTTTGGATTTTGGAGGATGGAAGCTGGGACAATTCCCAATTTTCTGGGAAAATCTGAATGAGTCTGGATCTCACCACATCCAGGGTCTCCAAGGTCTCCTTATCCTACAGATCTTTGCAGGAATTCTGACAGGGATGGGTCACTAAAAAATCTCTATTCCACCTCATTCCAGCAGAGTTTTCCTGCTTTTTTCCCAAGGCTTTATCCATTGACAACTCTTACACCACATCAGCTCCATCAGGATCAAATATTGGTGGGATTTTGGCAAATTCCACGTAAAAAATAATGTTTTAATTAATTAAGTTATTAAAAACTACAACACCAATATCTGGAATGGGAGATGTTGATCAAAACAGGAGGCTGCTCTTCAGAAAGACAAAAAATGTGTGATCCCATGGAATTCCCCCAAAAAAAAAAAAAAAAGGGATTTAAGGCAAGAAGAGGGATGCAGGGCAGAAAGGATGAACAAGGACTTCAACCCACATCCAGAAATTCCCAATAATTTTATTTTTTTGTGGCACCAAATCTCCTTAATCTACTCCTTCATCACAAAATCAACTTTAAAACAACTCCTAAATATTTCTCTTTTTTTTTCCTCATTCCAGCAGAGTTTTCCTGCTTTTTTCCCAAGGCTTTATCCATTGACAACTCTTACACCACATCAGCTCCATCAGGATCAAATATTGGTGGGATTTTGGCAAATTCCACGTAAAAAATAATGTTTTAATTAATTAAGTTATTAAAAACTACAACACCAATATCTGGAATGGGAGATGTTCCAAAGACACTTGGATTTTCTCCCTGCTAATTTGCCTTTTGGAAGCTGAATTTTACCTGGAAAACACCTCTGGAAACTGGACTCTTCCTTAAAAATAAGAGCTTGAAGTCACTGAATAAAGATGCTGCAAGTGTGACAGGGATCTTTAAAAGGAATTTTGAAAGGTGGTTATAGGAGCAAGGTGGAAAAAGGTCCTTCCAGAACAATAAAATATGGATTAAATCCCGCTCCAGCCCATGGAAACAAAATTATTCTTCCTTCTCTTGCTCCCCAGGCTGTGCCTTGCCATGAAAAATAAATCAAAGGAATCACAGGAGGGAGGAGGGAGCCGAAAGTACAAGATTCCCTCATGGATATTTAAAAAGGCTGGAATTTTTGATGTTATTAGCGAGCCCAGAAAAGCCTGTCTGGGATAATAAATGGCTTTTTTTTGGACACTGATTAAAGAGAGGCTGTGAGGTGCCACTCTTTCCTCCCACACCACTCCTTGGCTTCTCCTGGAATTAAAGGAGAAGCTCCAGGAATGATTTGTGGGGTTGGGAGAGAGGGGAAGGAATTCCAGAGCAGATTCCCATCCCGGGTTGGGTTTTAGGGGGAAAATACCAAAGAAATGTGGGATATCTCTGGAAGTGCTGACAGAACTCTCCTTTTCCTCCCAGGGTCCACCAGGGAAAAGAGGGAGATCCCAGCTCTGCCCCCAGGGACCCCCGGGCATGGATGGGCCAAAAGGAGAAGTGGTCAGTATGGGAATGATCCAGTGGGGTTCCCAAAATTCCAGACTGGGTTTGGATGAACCTTGGACCTTCCAGGTTTCATTTCTCAGCTCTCCAGATTTTCCAACAAGAGCAGAGCCATTGGAATTCCAAATTCCAGGTGCTGGACACAAATTCCTGCCTGGAGGTGTCTCCAGCTGGGGGGAAGATTCCTTTGGGAAAACATCAAACTTTGGATCAGCACATCCCCGAGGCAGAACAGGAATGAACCAATAATCAGTGCAGGGTAATTAATGCACAATTAATGCTCAGCAGAGAGCTCCAACAAGAGCTTTGGATCCCAACCCCAACCTGTTTGGGGTCAGTCCCTACACCCACCCTGCAAACCCCAGTGTCCCAAGGGATTTTAGGGTCAGGAGTGGCACTGCTTTAACTCCATGTGCTGCTGGTGGATAATGTGATTTTTCTGGCACTGGGAGTGAGCATGGATTGAGAAAAATGATCCTCCCGGCTTTAATTGGGATCATCCTTCTTGTGCTCCTTGTCCTTTAATATTTTGAAGTACCCTTAATCCACAAATCCAGTTTCCAGCAGTTCTGAGTGGAAAATTTGTCAGGGTGTTTTTATCCCTTGTTGACAAAGCTCAACATCTCCTGGTTTTTCCATCTTTCCAGCACTGGAATTGCAGCTCCAGTTTCAAATCTTCTGCTTGAGCTGATTCCCAAAGATTCTGTGCAGGCCAGACCCTCTCCATGTATCCACCTCTTCCAGATGGAAAATAGACCTGACTTGATCCATGGATTTCATCTCCTGGTTCTTTTTCCTCTGGAGATTTTCCATCCCCTTTCCCCCACTTCTTTCCTCTGTCTTCAGGGGAAGATTTGACCTCTCCATGGAGAGATAATTGCAAGTGATCATGGGTTAATTATCCCATGATCAGGATGCCGAGGCTTGGGAAGTAGCCAGTGGCTCTCAGCTCCCGTTTTTAATTAATATTATTGTGATGGAGCAGAGCTCCCAAAAAATCTGGGATGATCTGATGGACACATGGATGAGGCCGTGCCTGTCTGCCCACTGAGCCACTCGCAGATATCCCTAAAATTTATAGGAAAACAGGTGAGGCTTTTTCCCCATCTCCCTTGCGAGCTATCATCCCTAAGGAGCACTTATCCCCGGAGCATTTCATGGACAATCTCCGGAGATGTGGTAATGATCCAAGTGTTTCTAACAGGGGGAAAATGGTCCCGCCGGGCAGAAAGGAGCCAAGGGAGATCCGGGCCTTTCCGTGAGTGCTTTCTCCTAAAATCGTTTCCCATTTTGGGGGGAAAATGGAGAAAATCAGCCAAAGCTTTCCTAAGAGGCCGAGGGGAGGAGGGAAACGCTGAGAAACGGATTTGCTCCCAGAATATCTGGGAAATGAGGCTGTTGGTGTTAGCCAGGGACGGCAGAGCGGGACAGGAGCAGAGCTGGGCTCTACAAAGCCAAGCCTAAAGCACCAGGAAGATTTTCCCTTCCCCATCTTTGCCATGACTCCCAGCTCCTGCTTGTCCGACAGGATCGGTGCTCCAGGGCTGATCCAAGCCAAAGGAAAAGCAGGAGAGGGACATGTGCCTTTAGGGAAAAGCTGCTGCCCTGGGCTTCCAAATCCTGAGGAAGAAGGAAGGGTTGAGCCACATGGATCAGGACAAAATTCCTGTTGCACCTCCCTCCACATCCCTTCATCCCGAATTTTGTTCCACTTGACTGACACAAGGCAATATTTCCATTTTTCCAGAGTGTGAACTAATTTTCCAAGCAGTATTGATTTTAGGAGAGGGGTTGTGGGAAAGGATCTCCTACATTTGGGCTGCTGAAAATTCCAGCTCCCTACATGGGAAAATGCTCCAAAATTTCAAATCCCAAGAAGGACAAGAGGTGATGACCCCAGGAAGTCCAGTAGGACATCAACCATCCCACAGGGAAGATTCCCAATGGGATCAGTGACTGTTGGCTGTCCCAGGGATGAAGGATGGGCTCCAAATCCATGAGACTGGAGGTCTCATTCCATGGGGAATGGCGTTGGCTGGGAAAGAGGCAGAGAAAGCAGGATGAGGTGCAGCTCCAAATGATCAAATGTGGTTCCACAGCCCATTCCCAAGGGGCAATCCTGGAGGACAATTTGGATGCAGGTGGTTCCATGGCTTTTCAGAGCTCAGGGAAGTTTGGGAGGTCGTGGCTTCGGGGACAATGCCAGGAGGGTGGGAACACTCCCTGGAAAGCCAGCCGAGGTTTGACATGGGTTGATGGGTGACAAGGGTTTTTGGAGACCCTTCCAGTTTGGGACATGGAATGATTTGGGATGGAAGAGGCCTTGAAAATCATCCAATTCCAAGGCAGGGATTCCAACGGAGAGCTGGATTTGATGGTCTTTATCGATCCCTTCCAATCTGGGACATGGAATGGATTGGGATGGAAGGGACCTTAAAAATCATCCATTCCTTGGAAAGCCAGCCAAGGTTTGAGGGGTGACAGGGGTTGGGATCCCATTCCTCGTGGCCAGAGGAACTGGCTGCAGGAAAACCAGGAATTTCCAAAGGGAATGGACCACAGATCTTGAGCAGAGCTCGCCGTCACACCAAATTTCCAATCTCATTGCACTCCAAATGAGGTGGCTCCACCTCATGGGACAATGCCAGCAGGGTGGGGACACTCCTTGGAAAGCCCAGGTTTGAGGTGGGACATGGGCTGGGATCCCACTCCTTGTGGCCAGAGGAGCTGGCTGCAGGAAAATCAGGAATTTCCAGAGGGAATGAGGTGCAAATCTCAAACCGAGCTCCCCACGACACCAAATCTCTGCTCCCGTTACACCCCAAACGAGGCGGCTCCACCTCGGTGGGACAAGCAGGGAGATGGTGCCGGGGCTGGAATTCATCCCTAAATTCTGTTTTTCCCCACTCTGGCACAGGAGGAAGAGGTGAAGGAAGTGCTGAGGAGCGAAATGAGAGGGATTTGTGGTGAGTTGGCCCCGTGGTGACCCTGCCAGCAGCTAAATTGGAGCCATTTCCGTGCCAGCACACATCCAAATGTCACCGTCAGCAGCAGGCGGAGCTGGGGCCCCTCTCCAGGAGTGTGGAATTCCAGGCCCTGCAGATTCCTGACCTTCCTGAAACTCTCCATTTTTATCCCTTAACCTCCTCCCCTCTCTTCCCATTTGGTTTTGTCAGCAAATCTTTCCCGCATTTCCTCAAGGATTTGGAAGGTGCTGGGTCACTTGGAGGTCGCTGAACCTTTTAATTCCCAGTTTTTTGTGGTATTCCTTGGCACACAGAATACTCTGCTCCCACAGGGAATAACTGCCACCAGCACCACAAAAAAAAAAAAAAAAAAAAAAAAACCTCAAAAAAAAAATTCCCAAAACACCAAACAAACAAACAAACAACACCAAAAACAAAACAAAACAAAATAAAACACAATAAAAAAAAAAAAAAAACACACCCAAAAAAAAAAAAAAAAAAAACACCCAAAATTTGGGGGGGTTTTTAT